GAGAAAGTGTAGTTGCCATTGTAGCCGGCCAGGCTCACCAGACCGGCGATTAGTTGTTTGCCCAGCGGCGGATGTTGATCGAAGAAAAATACGTTGCGCATGTACATTGAGATGTACTTGCCATAGTGGAGTTCATCGAATCTGTACGTTAAAAATAATCGTTGTTATTTGTTAATGATGTAGACAAACATATAAATGTGTATGTATGTATATATATATTTATATTTCAAGTTCATTAAATTCAAGTAAAGCTTTAAGTCTAAACATTCACTTTCTATAATTTTTTTTTTTTACATTGCTTTCCATTAGCCTTTCTTAAATTAAAACCAATAATCATACTAGTTTTCGTTGCAGTTAATAGATCTAGATAGCCCGTTCGAAAAGTTCTACGCTTTGAGATATGTAAAACTAATTTGATACTTGACCCTTCGGATGACTTTTTATTGGATTAGAAAATGCATAATAATGAACAGAATTTGGTTTGAAAAGTTTGTGGAAGCTATATGTAAGTATCAAAGAAACACACTAAAATGGATTGACCTGATTAAACTTAAAGTTTATATAAATTCTGCCATAGCTCTTGTTCAATTAATTTAAAGCACAAAAACAAAAGCCATCTATTTCACATTAATTCGTTGGCAAGTGAAATAGATAGTTACATATTTGTTTGGATGAAGTTTTAATTTAACGGCTGGTAATTAGTTTAGATCTAAGCATGTTACGATAACCCTTACATTTTCAAGTATGAGACAGTGATTATTATTATTGTTATTATTAACATTTAAATAAAGGTTTTAATCAGACTCTTATTTTTCCCTTTTGGTGACCCCAATTGTTTCGTACCCGGTTTGTTATTGTTTTCGTACTCACACAATATTCGGCGGCGTTGCCAGCTTGTAGAAACGCGTGCCGAAGGCCAAGAGAAAGAGGGACCAGCTGAAGAGATCGATGCTCAGTCTAACGGTAAATGGCGGTAAGACAGTATTTGATTTTTCTCTCTCTTCTGCTGCGACTGCGGCTGCTGCGCTGCTCTTATGTTGATGTTTGTGACAGGAGAGCGAGCGGGAGCGTGTCGGCGAGGGTGACGGAGAGAGAGAGCGCGAACGATCGGAGGTAGGAGAGGGGGAGGCTTGTTTTGGCGTCGCTGCCGGCGTGGGCGTCGCTGTCAGCGTAGGCGTCGGCGTCGTATGCCGACTAACGCTGCCGCGCAGCGGGGCATTCAAATGGCAATTGACGTCGACGCAGCAATTGAGCAGCGTTAGAGCACCGTTACAGCACAGTGGTGAAGGTGAACTTCCCACGACCGCTGCCGTTGTTGTTGCTTTCGAGTTTGTTGAACGGCTGCGAAAGTGAAGTCTTTCGTTTGGCTCGCCGCTCAAATCGCATTGTTGTTGTTGTTGCCTCACTTTGCCCGCCTTGCGGCGCTGTGTAATTGTATTTGTGTAGGTGGCAGACATAGCGGTTTCCTCGTTTTTGTTATTGTTTTAGTTTTAGCATGGGCTTTTAGCTGGCATTTCTTTCTCGCATTGTTTTTTACAACCACTTTCACTGATCGATTAGCGATCCTCAAACATGAGATAATACGGCGCTAATTTAACAATCACTTCTTTTTTCACTTTTTTTGTTGTTTTGTTAATTTTTTATTTTGCCACGTTTGCCTGCAATCCGAAAACCTGTTTTGCACTTTCTTAACTCCACTTGTCTCGCTTCCAGCCTTCTTAAGTGATTTGCATTTACATACAAACGATGGCCAGCTGTTGAAGAAAGTTTCGTTACCGAAATATTCCCACAAACACACACTCACGGAAGTGAAATAACCATTTCCCTGGCTTCTTGGCCAAAACGAATCCGCAACCTGCACGGCAAAGATCTCGCGACGCAATGACGGAATTGAATGGCATGGCCTGAAACTGAATGGAAGTGGATCCGCGATGGCTCTCTTTCTTCTGCGCAGCCGTTGCTGCTGCGCACAGTGGGTCGTTTGGGAAAAATTCGGAGCAATAAGTGTTCAAACTTAAGTTAAGCTAAGCTTTTCGACTTAAGTTGTTCAGAAGCAATAGATTTTTTCTTCCTGGCTGAAAACTATTGTTTAAAAATATGTTAATTTATAAATAGTATATAAATACAAAATCTAAAATATACACGTGCTTAAAAACAACCAAACAAGATCAGTTATAGAAACGTCTTTGGATTTTAGAATTAAAGTCAATGTACTTTTTATTTTTTAAACCGTAAAGAGGTCTTCGTACATTTCTCGATTTTTTCATCGAGTTTTAGGAAATTTATCCACTGTACGCGACTGCGCAGCCATGCTGGAATGCGGTTCGGCTGCTGGAGCTAAAGCTGGAGCCCTGTCTCTTTTCTCTTCTTCCTCTGCTGTGCGTCTTTCTCTGTATTGATTCTTAACCCATTTCCCGTTTTGTCAGCCAAGAAATGCTCAGTGATGACGGATTTAGAATGGGGAAAAAAGATAGGCTAAAATGGTTAGGGACAGCATGACTCTCCTGGAGACCGCAGGTCAGCAAGGTATGTACTTAGAGTATTAATAAATGTAACTCTTAATTTAAAAAAGTTACCTTATACAACGTAAAAACAATAATCGACAACAAAATACGTAATCTGAAGGGATCCATAAACGCTTTAAAAATAAATATCTCCGCAAATTTTGAAATCCGTCGTTTGGCCCCCTTGAATATTTTCTTTAGTATTAAATAGCTATTTTTGGCTGGATAGAACCTAAATCTTCAACACTGGGGGTGCATGCAAAAAGATCTCTCCCGTTCTCTTTCTCTCTTCCTTGGATGAGTGTCGTCAAACGGAGTCTGCAAAAAAGAAAGAACAACAACATCACAATTAAACACCATTTATTGGCGCTGTAAAGAGAGGTTGTTTGGTATTTAGTAGCTAAGTAGGTAGATACATATCATCGTACATACTTATGTCTGTATGTCGTTAGGTATGGGGACCGTATAAAGCACGCGTCACAGGTGGAAAGGTGGGAACCTGTTCTCTTGGTTTATGACCCATTCTATAGACCGTGTACCAAAGATGTGGATGTGGGTACTTGCCTGACCTATTGGCCTTATTCTTGCAACATTTTAGTGCGTCTTGAAGTTGTATGATTAAAACATTGTTTATTTTAATAAGACTTATGACATCAGTCTGTTGTTTAGACTCAATTGGTTTAGGTAAACGGTTTTAAACTGGTTCCGCACCATAGACCGATACACAGAAGTATTTGGATAATAAAACAAACAAATTTAAAAAAAGATACAAGTAAATATTGTGCACCTATTCAATACAAATATTTACTTGATTGAAAAGATCTGGTATGCAATTATTTATAAATAAAAAAAATAATAAGAACGATTTTAATATACAAACAGAAAATTTTAATTCTAGCAATAATACACACATATCTCGCATTTATACATGGCTTAAAATTGTTTATTTTTATTGTTTTCTATATTTGTCACATTGTGTTTTTCAAGTGATATAATAATATAATTCGAAAGTGCGTGTATAAATATAGCCAGCTGAATTTGATTAGCAGCGTCAATATGTTTCCAGCTAAATTAAAGTCTTTAAATATCTTAATGTTTACACAACTGTTTTATGGTAGACATATTATTTTGCAAATTATATTTGCCTGACCTGATTTTCAAGATAGGCCTAAAAATGTGGATCAGATGGAGTTATGCGTAAGGTTCTCACGCTATTGTGGATAAACCCAGATACGTCAGTTATTTACTTCACTAGTCCACCTGAAAGGTATAAATAGTGTGAGTTCCGATCCAGAAGAGCATCAGTTGATCATATCCAATTACCAAGCATCAACATGAAGTACGCCTGTGCACTGCTCCTCTTGGCCACCGTGGGATGTGTCCTGGTGAGCCTGTCCAGTGCTGCCAGTTCCACAACCACGACGGAAGCAGCCACCACTACCACCACGGCCTCTTCCTCGGACACCACCACCACCACAGCTTCCTCCTCGGACGCCACTACCACGACCACGGCTCCATCCACTTCCGGAAAGAAGAAGCACGTGATTAAATACAAACGCAAGACCCACCGCCCCAAGAAGGTCAGGAAGATCCACCGCAAGAAGAACCGCAGCGGTTAATTGCCCTAGATCCTGAAACTGAACTTGTGCCTGACCCCTGAATCCCACTTAAATTATGGTTTTATAGTTGTATTTATATTTTTCCTTTGTTACGTATATAATATATTAATAAATTAATATTTTATTTAAAAATGTTGTGTGGCATATAATTTGAATTGGTGAAGACGACGAGCATCTATCATTATTTATCCTTTGTTGTCTGATATAATTAACGGATAATTTAATCATTCAGTCAGTAAACAAAAATGGAGGAATACAATTTCACAGTTTTTGTAAATATTTAAAAATTAGCCTTAAAATAATGTATACTATTTTGAAAATATTTAATTTTGTTTAGTTAAACACAGTTAGTAATAATATTTGTTTTTCTTTGGAAATGGGTTTCTGACATGAACTGGGCAATAAAATTCTGAAGAAGGTCAATGGAAGCGAAACAATATGAACCTACAGATAATTTAATTATCTAATTTCTATATTTCCACTGCCACAAAAAATGTTTATTTACTTTTAAAATTGTGGCTGCCAGAATTTTTACAATTTGCAGGATCGGAAAAGGGAGTAAAAAACACTGGAATTTAGGTGTCTAAAATAGGGCGCAGTCCAAGTGATAAGTAATGCGATATTGCTGAATTAGATTTTGATCAACCCAAAGCGCGCGTAAAATGTAATGCAATTTTGCTGAATTAGCATTTGATAAACATATATTTTTAAATTCGTATTAACTTATATTTAAGTGGTTAACAAAGGAGCAAGATCCACTTGCTTTTTAAGGAATAGTAAGATTATTAAATATAAATGTAAATCATAAAGCGAGAGGGATTCAGGCAGCGCGTTTTTGGAAGCAGTTGTAATCAGTATGAAGTTTTTCTAAAGGAGCTCAACCGCTGCGGTTCTTCTTGCGGTGGATCTTCCTGACCTTCTTGGGGCGGTGGGTCTTGCGCTTGTATTTGATCACGTGCTTCTTCTTTCCGGAAGTGGATGGAGCCGTGGTCGTGGTAGTGGCGTCCGAGGACGAAGCTGTGGTGGTGGTGGTGTCCGAGGAAGAGGCCTTGGTGGTAGTGGTGGCTGCTTCCGTCGTGGTTGTGGAACTGGCAGCACTGGACAGGCTCATCAGGACACATCCCACGGTGGCCAAGAGGAGCAGTGCACAGGCGTACTTCATATTGATGCTTGGTAATTGGATATGATCAACTGATAATGTAATGGTGAAATCCTCAAGCTATTTATACTGAAAAGCAAACGTGGGAAACCGATGAAGTTTGAGCCTATCTGAGCAACTGGGCCAAGCAAACACAAATTAGCAAAGAACTTCACCCACCAAAAAGCAGTTGTTCAAATATTTAAGATACTTTGACGTAGTTCTATTATCATATCATTGGAAACTCAGTTTTACAAATACAAAAAAATGTAAAAAAGTCTAATAATAACAAACTGTAAAATATATTAAAATTTATTACATTTAATTGATCTGACTTTAAATACTTTTAATAATAAAAAGTTATGTAATTATTTATACCTCACACCATCTATACCTCTCAGGTGGAATGTAAACATCTGACGTATGTGGGTTTATCCACATCAGCGTGAGAACCTATTTTCATAACAAGGCTAATTAAATAATAATTTGCAAAGAACTATGACTACCACGAATCAGTTGTTCAAATATTAAAGATATTTTGGGTACTGCAATTTTAAAGAAAACGACAATTGTGTCTTATAATAAATAAAAGAAACAAAATAGGCCTAGTTTGGTGATCAACAAAAAAATATGGAAAAGTTCCATAAAAATTATAGCTATCTATTTTAGAAGTTACTTGATTTGAGGGGACTTTAAAATCAGTTGCAACTCTCCCATTGTTAACATTATGCTCTGGCTCTACAAAAACTTTACATAAGTCTCCCCTGTTATTAACATGATGCCCACAGGAATAGACTAACGAAAAAAGGAGACAGAGAACCGTAGAGCGAAAGAGACATATACATATATATATATATATACACACACATATATTGAGAGTACGTTGAAAATCCGAGTTGGGAGTCCGTGTTCAGCACAAATCTGTTGAGAACGAGTGGTTCGGTGGGTGGCTGTTGCTGTCGCTGTCGCTGTGGCTCGTGGCTCGTGGAGTGTCTGCTCTGCCACTGCAACTTGGAGCTTCGAGTGCAGGACAAACACCCAGGACCACCAGGCGCCCCCCTTAAAAAAGCGGCGGAGAGGTGAGGGTACTGCCTACAGGCAGGTCCTTGCAACTGCAACAATAAACGGGGCTGAGATGCGGCAAGGCTGCCCTGCTCTGCTGGCGGCGGATTGGTTGCCGGGCTTAGCGGTGTGGCTGTGAGTCCTGTCCTGCCCCACCACCCACGCCCACTCCCGCCGTGCGCCTCGCGGCCTGCACAAGTGCAAGGATATTGTCGCCGCCGCCTGACTCCGGCACTCAAAAAAAAAACTCTATCATAACAAAGTAAAATAGGAATAACTTCACCGAAAATAAAGATTAAAGACTCTCTGGTATATTTGTTATAGAATTTACTTTTTTAATAAATAAATGTTGTTCACCGTCAGAAACATTTTTCGTCAGAAGAAATGTCATATTAAAGGCTTTTCTTAAGTCTTGACTATTTTAGACTCTTTTGTATTTGGTTTTAAAATTATTATTTAATGAACAACTCACTAAAAATAAAATAAGAGAGCAGTTTCTCTGCTAAAATAAAAATTTGAAGTTCTTTAAATACAAATAAACTTCTGGAAAACATGTTATTTGTTAAATACACTTTCCAAATCTAATTTTTCCTTAAAACTTATTAAATTTAATTTTATAGTTTTTTTGGCATATAGTATAAACTACGATTTAGTTGTCTTAAATTGTCTTTTTAAGAAAACATGATAATAGTCTGTTAAAAACCCTACAAATAAATCTAGTATATTCTTATAATTTCTTATTGTTTAGATACCCAAAGTCAGAATTAAAGAAAACCTAATAATAGTTTTAAAGTCTTTTACAAAACATAAAAATTAATGTAAAATGTGGAAAGGAGGAAAATATGCTTGGGAAATTGAACAGGTACTTTTCAACTAAGCAAGGAGTTTTGCCTTGCAGATTTTTTGAATTTTGACTACCAAATGGGAAATGCTTTCCCTTTGTATATTATTTTTCTCAGTATCCTGCTGTTCCTGCTTCCTGTTCCTCCTGCGAATCCCTTTTCGGTTTCTGTGCCTGCATCGTTGCAGCATCGCTATTGCTGTTGTGTCTCGTTTTCGCCGGATGGATGGCTAAATGGGTATGGGAATGGGCTCGGATATGGTTGTGGATGGGTGGATGCAGGCGGGCTTGGTGGATGGTTGCATGTCTGGTGGGCGGATTCTGCTGGTTTGGTTTGGTTTGGTTTGGTTTGGTTTGCTGCCTGCCGTGTGCCACTTTGGCCATGTTCGTGGCCGTGGCCGTGGCCTCGACTCATGCGCTCGTTCTCGTTTCCCAGCAGCAGCCTCACAACTCACAGCTCAACTCCAGCCAAGGCCAAGCCAGCAGAGGACGACGTCGCCGGCGATAATGTGGCACAATGACATTGCCATTGAACTAGGTCGAGGACGTGTTCCCTTTTGGCCACCGCCACCGCCACCGCCACTGCCACTGCCACTGCTTGTTTGGTTAATGTCTGCCTCCGTCTTCGTGGCCTGTTTCTCGTGGGTGGTGATGGCGGTGATGGTGGTATGGTGGTGGCACCACTGAAACCCAAACCTCTAGAGTCCTATCTTGCGGCGTAATGCGGATTGTGGTTAAGGCATGTTGAAAACGATGCACATGCTATTCTAACTTTTAACTACTTATATAATAGTTTATTAGCTTATTTAATTACTTCATTAAATAATAATAGTTAAACAAATATAAAAAGAGACTAATAAATAGAAATCACTTAATTAAATCAGTACCAATATGCCAAAACGATACGAACTTATACTTTTTTTTGTTAATTAAAAATATTCATAAAAAAAGTGATTAAAATTAATAATTGATAAAGTCAGATTTCTTCAAAATTTCAGTTTTAAAATATGAATAAACTTATATAGTGTTTTAATGGCAGTGACAGGCTGTGTCATGAAACAAATTTGTTGTCCTAAAAGAAAGTTTGAACATACATATGCTTTTCAATAACAAACAATTATAACTTATTAATGATTAATAGTATTTGTCACCTATCAGTTAACCAATAAAAACTAAACTAAGACAAACATGGACAAACATCCAAATTTTATTTAGGTAGGAGAACAATTTTCTGCATTCAGTAATGATTTTGAATTAAAAATTCTGTGATGTTTTCTAAGGCCGAGTAGACCGAGTAAATTATTTCTTAATCAGTTTTTTGGTACCTTTGAGAAATTCAATTCAGCATCTTATTCGTGCAGAAAGATTGTGGACTTAATGACATTAGGCGCAATGTCCGAATATTGCCGGAGATTAATGGAATTTTGCCAAAAATAAGCCGACAAAGACGGCTGGCAATCAATTAAAATGCATAGACTGCAGTCGGCCTAATGAAAGCTTTTTCTTCGATGTCCAGTCCAGACAGTTTCATCTGCTGTCCGTTTCAGGGAATTGGAAGGGTTTGGGGTTCCGAGCGGGGGGATTGGGCCATTATGGATGTGTCTGCGCTTTGTCTAAGTTCTTGTTTTTGGGCCGACGCGTCGGTTTGGGGACGAGTTTTATTTATTTTAATTTAAATGAAATTTATTTTATGCACATACGTACGCACACAGATGCTGTTTTTTTGACCGGCTAGTCAAAAGCTAAGGGTTGATTTTGTACATTTATATATGCACATGGATTATGCACCCACACACGTTCATGCCGAACGCTTGATTTTATGTGCTAAAAGGGTGGACCTCTGGATGGCTAAATTAGAAAAATCAATTATAATTATTTATTTACTTCAGAGTACTAAAGTTAAAAAAAAAAATCCTACCAGTTTTTCAAAAGCTAATTATGTTAAAAAAAAACTATCTTATAGTTTAAAACTTTTGATTATTGCAATTTTTGTAATCAAAGTGCTTTTTATGAGGTTTTAAAGTTTCAATAATTTTGTCAACACTGCGTATGAGTTATATAATTAAAAATCTCCTCTCCTCTTTTGGTACCTAAACTAAATATTTTGTTTAATGGTTAAATCAGCTAAAACACTTAAATAAATAAAAATAATATCTTTGAAGTCTAACATTTGATATGCAACTTGGGTTCACCCTAGTCCGCATATTCCATATAGAAAATGCAACTAAAATGTTTCACATGCAGTTTGTTTTTGCTGTTTTATGGCCAGTGTCTGGTCTGTCACACCGCCTCCTCCCGCACCCAAATCCACCCTCTCGATTGCCCCACCACCCCCTCAGTCACCCACTTGCCAGTGTGGCAGACGGGAGATTGCAGTTGCAGTTGTTGCAACAACAGTTGTTGTTGCTGACTGCCTGCAGTCTGGCAAAATTTTTGCCATTTGATTGCATTTTGTTGGGCGGCGTTTTTGTGTAGAGCAGAGTTTGTTGCACTTCACCATGAAGTTAGGTGATGCAAGCACACACACACACACAAACACACATTGAAAACGATGCTGAAAAACGCACTCACACATGCACACAATAACATAGGCCTTAGGATACTACAAAACTTCTACATATGCATTTGCCTAGACATACAAACCAACGCATTTGTGTGGGGGCTATGCGTTTATGTAAAAGTATTTTTTTTATTATATAAATCTCTATACATATTTTATAATATGTATACATAAAATTTCATTTTTTAGTTTGATTTTGCTTGCTGTCGTCTGCTAAAAATAATAACAAACTGCTCACAAAGTACAGTTGTGCGCAAAACGTCACATAGTGCAATTTCCTGAGTGTGGCATGCATTGCATACTTTTGGGTCTTGCACAAGTAACACACTTTTGTGGCCCAAGCCATGAAAACTGTTACTCCAAAAGGGGATATCCGTGTCCCCCGAGGAGAATCATTGCCACTGGGAGCACCAAGAACCCCCAGTACTTCAATCCAGTCCGGAAACTACAGTCAAACTTCTATAGCTCACATTTTAAACGCAAGTTTGTCAAATATTTCTTAAATTTTTAAAATACGTTTCATAATGAAGGGTTTTCGAGATAGGATAAAGTGGAAAGAGAAGTTAACACGACTGTAAAATGTTTATTAAATTATTGTTCATTTTCAAAACTTAAATATTTAGTCATTTAAAATTACTTAAATTTGGCAAATATATATTTTTGATGAAATTGGTATCGACATTCTCTGAACATTATGGTTTAATTTAGCACTTAGCAAGTTAAGCCTCTTAAAAAATATAACATAAATGTTATTAGAATTTAAACAACAAGTTTTTAGAACATTAGTTACAATAAAAACGAATTAAAGAATGTTTAAGCTTAAAATACTTAGTAGTTTTCGTTTTTTTCGATTTAGAAAACGTATAATCAAGGAATTCGGCCTGTGGCCGTGTAGGTTGCTACAGCCATCCATTTGTGCAGCACCGAAAATTGTGGGTGTTTTTTTACGCGTGGCCCGCACATTCGTTCAACAGCGAGGCATGCAGCAAGTGGCAGAGGACCACCGGGCGTATGAGTTCTCCTCAGAAGGCCTCCTCCTGCCACTTCGCCACTTCGCCACTTCACCAACTCCTAACTGCCAACTCCCCACATTCGGCCGACTGCCGAGTGGTTTGTTTAGAATTTTAGATTTTAGCGCGTTTTAGAATTTTATGAATGAATTTTTGGCGCTCGGCAGAGCTCCGTTTGCCGGGCCACACACCCTTTGCCCGCATCCCCCAAAAAATAGTCAGACCCATCCAATTCGTTTGGCTCGATTCACTTTTAGTTTTTGGTTAGTTTTCGGTTCCCCATTTGTTTTGGGGCCTGTCGGTGTGACCTTGCCGGGGTGTTCCGGTGTTGTTTAGATTTAGTTTCTATTGGGCTGCACTTCAGCTGCTCCCTTTTTGCAGTTGGCACAAATCTGTGCATATACACGTGTGGGCCCTTAGACAAAAGTCGGTCCTGTGTCTTTTTTGCTTGCATAAGGGTGTTGATTTAATTGATTCAATCTATCGTGGGGGTCCGACACTTTAAAATGGCAAAAGAATAAAATTTACTAAAATAGTTATGCGTTTAAGGGATAATCTTGAATAAAAAAATCCAATTGGGTTGCAAATTCTACAAATAGAAAAGGAAAACAGATAACTAAATTGCGTGCAAATGCTATTTAACTCTACTGAAATTTTAAATTTATTGTCAAATATCAATATTTGAGCTAAAAAAATTGACAATGCTTTCTAAGGTTGAAAACGTCATAAAACATCTTTTGAAAGAAAGAATTTATGTTTGAAAGCTGCTAATATATCTATGTATTGTAGTTGCACCGCATTATGTAAACATGTATAGAAAGGAAGGAGAAGATGCCACCTACACGAAGTTTCTTAAGAAAAACAAATCAATTTTTGACTTTAATTGCTTGAGGTATGTACATATGTAATAAGTTGCATGTACATGTGAATATCATCACCACTAAAATTCAACATATGTACTCCATACCCATCAACAGCTCGACTCAAACAAAATGATTTGTAGACCGCCCTTTAAGCCAAACCAAAGAGTGCTTTTTGTGCACAACCATATAAATCATATAAACACATAAGAGCACTTATGTAATTCTTATATGCTGGCAGTAATTTAATAGGTTTTGTTAGATTTGATGCATGCAAAAATGCCTATTAAAAGTGCCTTTGAAAAAAACTGTTGCATACCTGACGGCGCGCGCCTAACTTAACTAACGGGACACTGAAAATTGCATCAAGAGAATTGAGCGTGAGAGTGACGAACACAAAAGAGCACAGCATCCAACTGGCAGAGACGGAAAGCCGAAGCATAACGAAGTGTTACGATGTCCGATGTGTAGTGGCGAAGGAGAGGTCACAAGAGGAATTTGGCAATAAATGTAAGAAAGTAATGGGTGGGAGAAATATGAAGAGAGAGCATTCGTCACTAAGCCGGTGAGAGAACAAACACAAAAGCGAAAGCGAGGAGCCGGCATAGGTTCATCTGTATGTGTGCTCGAGAGAAAAATGGAAGGGTATTCGTGCATGTGTGTGTGTGTGTGTGTGTGTGACCACACATGTATTCGTATAGATGTGTGTGCGTGTGTCGCTTTGTCGGCAATTTAAAGAGTAAATAATTGTCTGCCGCCGGCAAACATTTGGCCAAACTGCTAGTCCACAGAATGTGCCCCTGTATTGGTATTTGCTACTTTCGGCATCTGTATTGGTGTCGAGTATCGGCTCTTCGTCACCAAACTCTACACAATTTTAGGCGCCGGACGAACGCACTTTCAATCAGTTAACTTTATAACGTCAGTGCCGACACTACGTCATCCGGTCGAATCCGAATCATTTCGAGTCGAATCGAATCGAATCGAATCCAGCGTTACGCCCCCAACACAGCACTAAGTTTTTGCACTTGTATTCGTTGCCGCGCTGCGATTTTAGTCGCGTTTTTACTTTCACGCGACCAATTCACTGCACGTCAACCATTCGCGTAAAAACGTGTCTGCCAAGTGTTTAGCAACCTGTATTAAGCATGTTCCCAGCGTTCTTTTCCCCAAAGAGCCGACAAATGTGAATAAAAGGCTGAGCAATTGAAAACCTGTGAGTACAAAGCACTTTTGGGTACATGCAAATCACTCAAGGGAAGTTAACCGTGCAATTAGTCCTTTTCTGAGGCGCTCCAAAGTATGCTAATTTTGCTTTAATGTCCAAAGTTTGGTTTATTTAAAGTTTTGCGGCAATTTGTGAGGGGTAAAATCATCTGTAAGAAACAGCAGGAAAACGAAACATTAATAATATAAAATATTTATTAACATTTAACTAAATTAAATCAAATTATAAATTTGAATTTTATAATTTTAATTAATTTACTTTTATTAAATACTATTTGTGTTTATTCGGATACAGAACTCATCTCGTTTGGATTGGTTTTACTTTAAAATAATTTTAAATTTGTGATCAATAAAGATCACAAAAGATTTTTATATAAAAAAAAAATTTCACATGTTTTTAATGTTTGAACTTTGTATTTTCACACTTTAAAATAAATCGTATATTTTATCATGGCGCTTACACACATAATATAGATCTTATACACATATCTTAAATCATATGCAACTGAATATTTTATTTATTTGTATTTATTTAAAATAAATGAATTAAAAAACCAGAACAAGTATATTAAATTAATTTGAAATTAATAGTGATATTATTAAAGTAATTCAATACTAATAAAAGAAGCTAAAATAATATTTTGGAACTACTTTTATTTGTAAGATCGTTAAATGCATATTTACCAAAGGTGTTATTCTTAAATCGGACAACGCACTTTCCGCAAAATGCCGGCCACTTAATTTACACACAATCGGGCAATAATAAATCAGCATTTAATGTGCCTGCAACGAAATGCGGACTCAGCCGACATAACGTCATCGACATCATGTGACCGCGTTTCCGAAATTCCCCGAAAACTTGTGTACGTGCGTTGTGTGTCGGCCCCGAAATACAAAATACGGAATACAGAATGCACAGACGACGGGTCATGGCCACGGCCACGGCCACGGCCACGGCCACGAATATGGCATTTCGGCGACGGCGACTCCGGCTGCGGATGAGATGAGATGAGATGAGGCTCCGGCTGCAAACTCCGGCTCTGCCGTGCGTCGCAGTTTCACTTTCACGGCCAACACACACACACACACACACACACACACACTGATGCGGAGATCCGTGGGAGTAATGGGCGATGCGGGCGCGCCTTGCACTCAGCCTCACAGTTCGTCTTTTCCAAATCGGCGGATGCACGGCCACGAATACGGACACGGTTACGGCCCATCCACCCCCAAAACCGTGCCAATGACATTGTTCTCCCCGCCGCACAGTGGGCAGAAATTCATTTTTATTGGGTTACAACAATTGCAATGAACATATTATATTTTAATCAGTTTTTATGGTTTTTTTTTAGAAAAATCCAGACCGTAAATAAAAGATAATATATGTTAAATTGTCTATATTGTTGAACAATTAGTATTGAAATGTTTATAATAATCTGGTTATACATTTTTATGTATCATAACAATCGCCACCGTAAGGTTGAAGTGAATATATAGTCTATATAGTTGAAAACACTGTCTGATTCTTATATAAGGACACACATTTAACTTATTACATTATTACACCAAGTCGATTATATTAAGTATACGCACTAGACATCAGCCAAAAAGTAGGCAATGTTTTCTAAATCTAAATCTAAATCTAAATCTAAAAAACACCCCGACGGTAAAATAACGATATGTATTTATTTATCTAATTTTTTAAAACTTTATATTATGAATATTTTTAAAGTTTTTGAATTATATATTTGTTGACGGGTGAAAAGAAACCATCTTATATTGTTACTAGAGTTCAGTGCCGTTGTCTGCCACTTGTAACACATTTTGCATTCGACGAGGCCGTGGGACGTGCCTGGTTGAAGAAGGGTGTACCAGTTGTGATGGCAGTTGGCGGCGGAACGGATATGAGAATGAGATTGTTGACGGGCTGACGTTGACCGGCAAAATACGGCAGAGTGCGCCGACTTCCTGCATTCTCGTTTCTGCCAATACCCACGCTGCCATAACAACCACGACAACGACAACGACAACGATGACGATGCTGATGCCATGCCAGAAAGCCGCCGAAGTGCCGACGCACACACAGCACACACAGCACACCATCGCCATCGCACTATTACACCCCGCACCATATGCGCATGGCAGAGTTGCACTTGCCGAACACCTCGCCATGAAACCCAAACCCCGTGACCAGCCACACCCACTACTTTCCCAGCCGCCTCTTGCCGCCGACACTCTCACTCTCCGGTTCAGAAGTGTGTTTACTCGCCGCCGCCGATTGCAACACAGCCAAGTACACTGACAAAAATCTTTTCAACATCTCTTTTTTCATTTGATTTTCAATATTATAAGGTAACCATATGAAGTATATTTTTTTTAGAGGTAATTAAAAGGGTTTTATATATAATATTAAGATTTATAAATAATATATTTCAGTGAGATCATCAGAATATATTTTTTAGTTTTTATAGATCTTAAACTAAATAAAATTCACATCTGTGTTTCAAAAATCGTGTTAATTGTAAAACTTCACTTTTTTATAAATTTTATAATAAGATAGAGGATTGTGTGGTATCTGATTTAGATTTTTCTTTATGATTTCAGATTTGTATGATTTTTTGTTAAAATATTCATAAAATAACAATAGAAAAAGGTTAAAATTAAAAATGTAATTAAATTAATTAATTAAATTAAATAGTTTAGTTATTCAACAAAATTATATATTATTCTTCAGCAATGGGAATATTTTTTTTTAACCCAAATAAGTTACAGAAGTAGAAATTTTGTAACAAAGCGTTCGAACTGGAGACTCACTAATATTTTTGCTCTGTGTAGGATTGAGTGCAGTTACCTCTGCTCCAGGAGATGGCAGATGTTGGGGGAGTGGGTGTCCGTGGGTCTGGTGAAGCCGGCCTTCTGCTGTGGCTGTGGTAGGCTGTTTGCCATTTGCCGGGAGCATCGCTACGTCATCGTCATAGCCATCGTCATCGTCATCGCCACCGCCACCGTGCCGGAAATCGTGTGCGTGGCCTGATTTCGTCGATTGGCCTTGTGCGGGTTTCAGTGTCAGGAGCGCAGCATCTTTGTTTTGGTTGCAATTGTTGTTATTGCAGCCGCTGCTGATGCTCGACTTGGCCTGCATATATGCAAATCAAGAGCACACACACACACACACGAAGTGCAGTCCTCGGAATGAGAGCTTCTGTGTGCGGGAGCAGGTTCCCTTTGTCTGAAGGACTGTGAAGTGGGCAATTGTGCTCCCTCCATATATTTGATGGGCAAGTAAACAGAGCTCAAAACTAGGTTCTAAGTGCTCCAAGTTGTGGCACTTTCATTTTTTTTACTTCTTACTAAAACAGGAGTATGTTATGGCCACCATTTCGTATCGTAATAAATTGAAAGTTAAGTTATAATATTCTCAAAAACAGTGATGACATTTAATAAGTTTAAATTATTTATTTATTGCCATTTTATTTTTGGATGCGCAATATTCGAAATAATATTTTCTAAGGAAATGGGAATAGATTTTAAAGCTAAGAAATTAAAAAATTTTAGTCAGGTATACCATTTTTACGTATACGTAATGCTCCTTGAAAATATAAACAATTTTAAGGAAAATATTGGTATTTTGGTTAGAACGACAGTTAGTTTTCTTTAATAATAAAACCAAGTTCGGTGTGAAGAGATTTTATTTAGTTTAACCATATTAGCAATGGTTCTATAACACATTATCCAAAACGCTTAAATTTATTATTCTATTTAGTGCCGCGATGAATAACAACTTGTTAGCACTATGTGCTTTGCTAGTCGTAGCAGTTTTAGGACGGAAACATTTTCGCAATGGTGACTATTTAAGTTCCTATTTTAAATTATTGGAGGCTTAGCTGACTTAGATATCCTTAGATAATCACTACCAAGTTGTGGGCGTAGAGTGTAAGAAAAATGAGGCAGTCAGCTGCCTGATGATTGAATGTCCGACTGGCAGCTTTTGCCCGGCGGAAAACTTTTGCTACAACCCTAAATGCGTTTGCCGCAAAGGATTTCGACGAGTTGGTGGTGTCTGTGTGGCAAAACACAATCCTCTGCATTTGAACAAAGCCACATTGGAGTCAGCTTTACTTAAAATTCCCTATCGAGAGATTCTCTTTTGAGAGTTACAGCTACTAATATATTGGTATATTGGGTAAACTCAAAGATTTTGTATTTTAAAATCAGTCGAAATTAATTTAGGACGGACTTACGAATTACAAAAATATCTTTAAGAGTTAGTAGTAGTTAAAGTTAGATATTCAAAAAACCTTACTTCTTATTATATTGAAAATTTAGAAATATTACTGTTTTAATTTGAATTGTATTTAAATGATAAAATAAAAGTATTCTTGTAGTCTTAGGGTCCTGGTTTTATAATATTTGTTAAAGCATTCTTTTTACTTTTAAATTACATTTTAAATTTGTATGAATTCGACATTTTATGAAATATAACATATTTGAATAATATAACAATAATAATAATTTTAAAAAATAGAAAACTGTTTAGTTTTCAAATGGACAGATATATCGATATGCTTTTATCTGTGTAAATCGAGCCAACAAATATATTTGGCCAATCTCTTTTCAAAATGGCAAATAAAGTGGTTTTTTTTTGTGCATCCTCTTAGAGAGAGAGGCTCTCTCTTGCTGTTTAAACTCGCTTCGTTTCTCTCCCGCACACTAGCTTAGTTGGAGCAACTAATGGCAAAGTGTGGTGGAGGAGGGGGGTGGGGGGTCTGTTTTGGCCATGCCGGCTGCCAAAAGCCAAAAGCCGAGAGCCGAGGCATTGTGTCTCGTGCGGCGGAGAGAAAAGTCGGAGTGGCATATCGATGGGTCGGCATAGTCAGTAGTGAAGCTACGCCACACGCCGCCAGGTGGCTCCGTTTGTGGATGCGGCGGGTGTTTATCGCATGTGCATGTGCATGTGCACCTCAGACAGTGAACGGTACGGAATACCCCCGAGAAACCCCCGAGAAACCCCCTGAAACCCCCGAGAAACCCCCTGAAACCCCCTAAAACCCCCGAGAAACCCCCTTTGAAACCCCATCGAAATCCCACACAATACATACTTTTTGTGTGTGTGTTTTTTCACCGTATTTTTCGCCGCGGAGGAGGTGACCTCCAGAATGGGCTGGATGCAATGCAATTGGCTGCACTTTTCCTTTGTGAGCCCGCCTTGCGTTTTATTGTGTCACGGGTTCGCGCGCAGATGGGAAAAATAAACGACAGCCGTTTGTATTTCCCAAGTGAAAGTCTGTTTATCTACCGGCGATATTGAAAACTGACGCGACGATAATACATGAAATACATATGTATATATGTGTGCTCAATTAGAAACGAAACTATTTTGCGTGCTTAGTGAAAATCGATATGGCGCAGCCTTTGACTTTTGGCCACTCGGCGAGTCAGTTTAGAATGTCCCACACGGCGTATGCGTTATATTTTTGTGTAAATTAGCGTTTTTCTTGTCTTAAATTCGATTTGTTATGTGTGAAACTTTGTAGAACTGACGGCTTAGGTCAACCCTAACCTAATCTTAATGTAGCGACACACTAAATTGCCATATAGAGTGGGTCGTCAGCGCAGAAAACACCACCATTCCCCCCCCGCTAAAAAACTTACCCCTCGATATTTATTGCTCCTACCTCTCTGCCTCCCTCCCACTTTCTTTCCTTCCCTCTTTCTTTCTCTCTCGCTCTCGTTGTGCCACAGCGCGCAGGATTCGCGCTCTTTTTTATCGTCACCTTCACAAATGCAAAGTGGGCGGTGGATGGGTGGTTGTTTAGACAAATGTGTGTAAGTGTGTGAGTGTGTGTGTGTGTTTCCTACGTTTCGGCAAGTCAGCTAAAATAACAACAACTGCAGCGGTGTTTTCACTTTCCATACGAAAGCCTTCTAAGCTTAAATTGTGCTGCAGTTTTTAGTTGATCTATTTTGGGGAAATCCACGTAATTTTGGTGCTTACTAAAGTTTTTGTTTAAGGTGGCTAGACAACGATATAGAAAATACTTACTTAGATTTTATATATTTTTTATTTATAATATTTGCACACTTTTAATGAACATTTTTAATGAACATGGTCAGTTTTTTTAATCAAGTAATAATTACAAAATAATATGACAAAATTGCTTAAATGTAATTAATTTTCGATGTTTTGTCAAATGAAATAGATGACAGAAAATGACAAAAAACCGTTTCTTACTCATTTTCATAAATTCCTCTCGGAATCGGTTGTTTATCATTCTGGATAATCATGTAATCCTTTCCTTAGGAAAAGTAAATGTTTTTTTTTAAAACGTTTAATTAATTTAAAAATTTTTACTGAACCTCTAATCCCAATTAATTTTCTCTGTAACTTATATTTGTATCTTTAATTTCAGAAGTCTGACTCTCAACGCACAAGATCCCATAAAATCTCCCTGGTTCCCCTTCTTCGTCGTGAAACGAACGCACAATGAACTTCACCCCGTTTGGCAACACATTTCCCGGCAATATTCCCGGACTGCCGCAGTTCACGACGAGCACGGCGCCTTTGGTTTCCACGGTAACTGCCGCCGTGACGGACGTGACAGTGACCCCCAGCAACAATCCGCAACAGCAACAGCAGCAGCAGCAGCAGGATGCCGCCGGCAGCAGCAATCGATACCAGCAGCAACAGGTAGCGCATTTTGGCCAGGCCAATATGACGGCTGGCCAAGGCACCAGTGGCAATAACAAGTTCCGTGGCGGCCAAGATGATGCACTTCAGGGCGACAAGTACAATGGCCACTTGGTGGCAGCCTCTCAGCAGCAGCAGCAGCAACAGCAACAGCAGCAGCAACAGCAACAGCAGCAGCAGACGCAATATGCGACTGTTGCATACGCGAGTGCAACAGCAACGAGTGCTGCTGCGGATGCCCTGCAGGCGGGCACTTCCGGCCAGCAGCAACAGCAGCAGATGCAACAGCAACAGGTCACCGCCCCACAGGAACTTACCCAAGATCTGTGCAACGCCATCCTGCAACAACAAGGTGAGCGGTCAAAACAAATTTCATTTCAATCGGAATCAGAAATTGCCTTGTCTTAGAAAGCTAATATAAAATAACGTAAAATTTCAATTTAGCCCCAAAAACTTCCTTAAATTACTAAAAACGTTTATGTGGTAATTAAATTATAACTAAAAAAAAAACTATTGCAATATTTTTTAAAAATTTTTAATATTATTTCTAAAGTTAAGTTACAAGATTACGTCGGAGACAATTATTTTGTAAGTTAGTTAGTTTAAATTAATTTAATTTTGCTTTCACAAAACAATTTTTTTTTCTTTACAGAGCTAAAAAAAAATTTGGATACCAATTTTTTTTCAAACAAATTTTTGTTTAACGAAAATTATAGCTAATTAATTAATTAATTTTGCAGTACTCCAGAATACCTCGTGGCAAACACTGACGCCGGGCACCACAGTCGCCGACTACCTCTCGCATCTTCCAGCCAACACGTTGCCGCTTTCGCTGCACCACTTCCTCAAGTATTCAGCGGAGACGATCAAGAAGGAGAACCAGCAGAATGTGGTATGTCACTATACTGAATTTTTACCAAAATTAAAGTTCGCAGGACATATTTTTTTTTTCATTAATCTACATTATTTCATTCCCAAGATTAGTTTCCAGCCCAACAACGTTTTTAATATAAAAAAATCATATGAACCTTTTTTTAAATAAACTAAACGTATATGTTGATAGCGTTAAAAACATAGAAGTTTTCGAATTCAGTAGAAAACCGATTGGCTTTATTATTGAATCATAAATCTGTAAGCCATTTTTATATTTTAATGGCCAGCGGGTAGAGAAGTAAGAAATCGAGGTAAACAAATCAAATCGATCAAATGTTTAGAACAGTTGACTTGAGTACAATATTTTGACTCCTTCAAGATAAGTAGTTATTTTTATTATAATTTTAGAGTTCTACAAAATGTTTAGCTTTAGTTACACTCAACAAAAAAAAATTGACATAAAAACAAAACTGTTGTTACATAAAATATAATTTTTTGGGTATGAAAATCTCTCAATAAGATGTTTATTAAATTAAGACCACAAAAGTATCAAAATAAAAATTAAACCTCAGAATAAAATTTTAGATTCCTCGGTATGGAAATGAAGCAAACGAATATAGGGGTTCTATTATTAAGTATGGAATTAATACATATACTTTAACACCGTCAGTAGTTTATTTTTAATACACACTTATTTAAACTAAACTTTAAGTTTAAGTTTTTATTGGTGCAGTGACTTGATTAAGTGAATTGTTATTGTACTTTTAGGTACTGCAGGTGCAGACGGGACCAGCCATTGGGATCAATACCCTGGGCACGACAACCATTAGTATACCTCAGCAGGAGCAGCTGACGCTGCAGCCGCAGCAGCAGGCGACGCTGCAGGTGCAGCAGGCGACGCAGGCGGCGGTGGCATCGGCGACGGTGACGTCGGCGACGGCAACCACGACGTCCGGCGGTACTGGCGGCTCTAGCGGCACTTCCGGTAAGAAGAAGAAGCGTAAAAAGCGTAGCAAGGACCGAAAACCGAAGCTGCGACCCGGAGAGATTCGACTGGGAACGGCGCTCGATGGCAGTCCGTTGTACATGTGCCCCGAATGCCATGTGGCGTATCCGGAACCGGAACTGCTGGAGGTGCACCTGGTGGGGCACAACCTGGAGAAGCGGTACGTGTGCGACATCTGCCAGGCGTCGCTGAAGCGCAAGGATCACCTCACCCGCCACAAACAGTCGCACAATCCGGAGCGGCCCTACATCTGCACCGTCTGCCTGAAAGCCTTCAAGCGGAAGGAGCAGCTGAGCCTGCACTTTGTCATCCACTCGGGCGAGAAGCGTCACCAGTGCGGCGAGTGTGGCAAGGGCTTCTACCGCAAGGATCACCTACGCAAACACACCCGCTCCCACATCGCCCGTCGCGTCAAGGCCGAACTGAATAGCCATGTGCGACGCGAGAATGGCACCAGCATGCTGCAACCCGTCGTCACGGAGGCCACAACGGCGGCCCTGCAACATGCCAATCAACTGGCCACCGCACAGCAACAATTGCAACAGCAACAGCAACAGCAGCAGCAACAGCAGCAGCAGCAGCAGCAGCAACATCACATTGTGATCACACAGCAACAGCAGCAGCAGCAGCAGCAGGCACCGCAGCAACAGCAGCAACAGACTTCGCAGCAGCAGCAACAGCAACAGCAAATGATAAATTAGCCAAATGATTTTTGTAAAGTCAGTTAAAGCAAAATCAATCAATTTCGTATCATCTAGGTCCTTCAAGTGGGACTTGGCTGCTCAAAAAAAAACAACTCTTTCGGTCCACACAATTTAATTGACTCTCACAAATCGGATAATGCAAACAGCAGGATGTTAGCTAATGTCTTCAAGGATTCCCTACCCAATGGGAATTCTCAACGTTGTACAATTTTAATCGTAAGTCCACGATGTAAAATGGACCGTCCACAAAGCACAATTTCTGGGATAAAACTAGTTTTTAATTTATTTTTTTTTTCGATTTCTTAAAGATTTTGTTTGAATATTTATAAGTTTCCTTTCACTAAGTGAGTACAATCAAACTTTTGTTGAATATTTTGAATAAAACTTAAAAACAAGTCAAATTAAATTTAATTTTTGCAGAAGATCTCTGTTTATTTTTATACTGAAACAAGTTTATAAAATTTAAATTTTGTCCTTAACATTGGAAAATAGATAAATATTATCCCAGAGTGGTCGGTCCCAGGCCTTTGTCCGCCCTAACATTCCATACTCTAATTTAAGAGAAATGTGCAAAGAAATAATAATTTTATACGGAATGTATTTTAGTGAAATGTATTTTTCTACAATTAGAATCAATGTTGTGTGGTATGTATGTCTGTCCATATGTACATACACCTGTACGATTACACGAATACTGTTCACTGGCAGCGAACTATATATATATATATATTTATATATACCCTGTAAACAAATGCAATTTAGATTTACACTTACATGTAGGAACGAATCTTAAATTGTGAATGTACGTATAACAAACATTTTGCTACACCGATAAATCAACCACAAAACCCTTGTAAATATGCAGTAAATTATATAATTTGATCTAAACCGAAGTAAAACAATTTTATTCTTAAAAAAAAAAAAACAATTTTTAATACAATTTCAGATCATAAAAAAAATTTCAAAACAAAAACCATCTACATATTATATATACATTAACAAATTATCGTTTTTGGGGTTATTAATTTGCTTTATTTAGAGTACTCATAAATTACGATTATTATGCACCATTTATTGTAGTCAATTAAATAATTAATCATTAGCATTATCCGTATTATTATCTGTATTCTGTATATGTCTGTGTTAGTTTTATATCGTTTATTCATGTACGAAAATGGTTTGATTTACCGTCCATTGCGTGCGTACATTACTAAGCTTAACGTTATGATGTTTTACAAAATAGGCATTAATTTTATGGGAAAAGGAACGTGACATAAGGGTGTGTATTTATTCATGGTAGAAAAGCGGACAGGATGGAGTTGACAGCTTATCAAAATTTGTGCTTTTTACACATTCAAATTAGCAAATTCGTGGATTCATAATTTGGATTCTAATGATTATACAACGAGGCCCTATTAAAAAAATATGTGTGTTATAATATTTATAAGGATAGTGTTATGTGAGAGTGTAAATGTGTAGAAGCGGAGTGCACCGATTACTCATTGCAAAAAGTGCAAAGTTCGTTGCACGCCCACTTATCAACATTTAAGATCGTTTATAATTTCTGCGTATTGTTTTTCTTCTCTTTTTTTTTTTTTTTTTTTTGGTAAGTTTTGTGTTTCGTTTTCGTTGCGAAAAGAACTGCTAAATCACTGTACAAAGGACGAGGCGTGTCTATTGGCCACCGCCTACGGTCCGCAGAGAAACTTGCGCTTTTGGTCCTCCATGTAGTCCCTTGTGGACATCTGGATGGCCTGCTGCAGCATCTCGCTCTCGTTTACTCCTGGAGAAAGTAAATTTAAATATTTATTTTGATTCACATAAGTTTGAGGATTAGAAGCGTTAAGAAGGCAGCAATATTTTTAAAACATTTTAAGAAAGACAAAATCTTTTTAGATATATATTTAATATTGTTTGAAATTTAGAACTGTATACTTGTGTTTCAGTTTAGAAATTTACATCTTTAGTTTTAAACAGTAAGTATTGCTTTGCTAAAATAGTGTGCTCTAATCACAGTTCTTTTTAAGACTCACCCTCATTGGCGTAGGATGCCTCGAGCAACTCCTGGTAGAAGCTGGAGTAGCTCTCATCCCTGGGCGACTTGGTGTCTCCGCTCTTCTGTGGCGAGTGCGACGACTGCTTCGAGGTGCACGGACGCTGCTCAGCCTCCGGCGTGTCAGCGCGAGCCACAGACGGCACAGCATCGCGCTTAGGACTCTTTCTCAGCGGAGCTTCCGATGCCTCAGCGCTGCAAGGTAGTAAGGATTGTAAGACCTCAGTTAGCTGGACAATGAGTCGAAGCGAGCACCAACCTCTTGCCAGCAAGTGGCGCTTCGCGAGTCTCGTGGCGACGCTTCTTCCTTAAAGCAGTGGTGCGGCGGTGTGACTTCGATGCCTTGCCGGAACGCTGGCCCGGAGAACCAGTGCTGGGCGATGAATTGCCACCGCAATGACCCACCGAACTGGTGCTACTCATGTCTGTGGCATCGCTATCGTAGCCAGCCAGCTCGCTGACCTCCGGCGGCAGCTTGTGGCCAAACTGACTGAGTGTCTTCGGTGACAATGAAAACGCTGGGGCTGCGGCATCAGCACCACTGGCGCTGGTCAAAGTCACGGCCGGATTACCGCTGCCGCTGCCGGTGGTGCTGCCGCCACACATGGAGTACTTTGAGGGCGAGGCATCCGAATCGGTAAGCGCCTCCGCCGAGGTAACCGTTGAGGAAGTGGCCGATCCTGCGGCCGTATTACTGCTGCGAGAGCGTTGCATATTCTCGCGGCACCACTGCAGGTAGGACTCGCGGGCAATCTGCTCCTCGATGGCTTCGTTGGTGGCCTCCCAGTCTGTTGTCTTTAGTTTATCCTCGAACATGGTCTGCAATTTGATAGAATCAATAAAATACTAATGAAATAGTATTAGTTCATTACACTCACCTGTTCGATCTCCAACTGCTCGCTGAGACGCGCTGCCTCTTTGGTTTGGATCTCGGGCTTGTAACCAGCCAAGCCCAGGCCCACGCCCACCGTGGCGTTGTAGGGATCTAAGATAGCATTATAGTGTGAGCCGCGCTGATAGGATAGGCGCAGTGGTGGATAGCCTGCCTGCGATTGTTCCGAATTGAATATATTGATAGGATCTGGAACAGAAAACAATTATATATTTAGGACTAGAAAAAACATGATTGAAATCATTTATTTTAGTGGCTATTTCGCCACTTCAAAGAACTTAACAGAATTGATAGTATAAAACCCTAACGAACAGCCTTAACTCTTAAATTTTGTCATATCCCATTTCATTACATTATTAAAAGAATAAAAGTTGTAAGATTTTGCCAACTTACTTGACTGGTAGCAGTATACTTCGACGGTTCGGCTGTAGATCTCGGATATGGCCTGGATCTCGATGTGGTTGCCATGGGCATCACGAGCTCGTTTGCGCTGTATGTAGCTGTTGATGTCCTCGGTGACAAACTGACCGAAGTACTCGCGATTGCCGTTCTGAAAAGGCAAAAACACTTTCGTAAGATAAAGCTTAGGGCTTAGGAATAGTATATATTTTACAATGTAATCCATCGTGTGTTGGCGGATGACGTCGTGCATCTCCTCGTCGCCGTAGATCTGCAGCGATATAGATCGAAAGAGGCAGGCGCCGTCCTCCTCGACAGGCTTCAATTCGTAGCCGCGTTGTTCCATGCACTTGGCGAACTCCATGTCGCGTCGCTGCCACTCCTCCACCGGAATTAAGCGCTCCTTGGGCTGCAGATGCTCATCGCCGCTGTTGTAGCCGGAAAAGGTCTCCTCCACTGTTTTCAGCAGATTGGCAGCCGCCGTGGCCGGCGACATCTGCACCTGGGCTTTGGGCACTGTGGCGCAGCCCAGTCCCAAATGTTCGGGTGAATTCCGGCCCACCGCCGACGGACTGCTGCCGCCCGATGTGGAGGCCAACGGCGGACTATTACACTTGCTGCCAGATACACCGGGTGCTCCGCTGCCCGACACTGCCGCCGGATGGTTTAGTTTCTCACGCTCCAGACGATCGCGTTTGTAGTGATGGGCATGTGTGTCGTGGTGGTCACGTCGCTTCGAACGGGCACTGCTTGAAAGGGAAAACCGTCAACATTAAATTCCAAATCAGTTGATTATAAATTTAGGATTTTTACAAAGTGAATTCGGACTTTTGATTCGCTCGTTTATCAAAGAATAGTAGATGTTTACAATATCAAATTTAGGTTGATGGTTGGTTTGGACGATTTAAGTTGATTCAAAGAATAATCTTGCCATATATATGTGTTCATTTACTAATTAATTTGTAAATTGTCTCCATGTTTTACTTCTTACGGAATTACACAATGAGAGATCTTTATTTGTATTACAAATAACAGAAACTTGGTAAAAAACCATTTAAAATATGATTGTTTACAAGGATCTTGCATATTGAGCAATGCATGCAATACTTTTAACGCATTTAAAATAACTACTGGTCAGAAGGCGTGTATTTTTTAGCCCTTAAAAGAAATTAGAAGAAAATTGCACTTTTCAGGAAGTAACTATAAATTTGCTTGGTCACGCTCACATTTAAAATTGCTTCGAAACCCTAGAAAATTGGCGTCTTCGATAAGAAAGGGGCCAGGAATGTAATGTCCTGAGGCTAGTAACCCAATTAAATGCAGCTGCTATTATGGGGCGTTGAAATCCAGCCCGTCCATCCACTCACCTCTTGTGGGGGCTGCAGCGATGGGTGCGTGCCAGTTCGTCGTAGACCTCGCCACGCCTCTGGGGACTCTGAAAAGTGGGCGGACAAGAGGAGCAAATTAATGGGTATAAATACTGGTGGCGATTGAGGACTACTGTCTCTCACTCACCTGGCCATGTCCATCGATGACTACGTTGCGATGGTTGTGGGTGTGGGTGTGGGTCTGGCTGACCACCGACTGCTCCACCACCACAACCTGAGCCTCCTTGTTGTCGGCATCCACATTGCCAGTCACGCGTTTCGCACTCGGTGGTGCACTCACTGGCTTAATTGTCATGGTGGTGCGCCGCTACTGTCCCCGCTCCGCTGTTGCTAGTTATTGGTGGATTCACAACACTTTCTTGTGGCGAAACAACGCCTTTTGATTATAATTTCCGTTCCACAGAACTCCAATGAACTATGTGTTCTTTGTCCGAGATGTCGTCGCAGAAAATGCGACCCAGTGGTTCCTTTCACCCACTGGAAAACTGGAGTTTCGCTTCTTCCGGATAGAGAAAATGGTGCGGTGTAATCGAGCGTTTCTTGTGTGCTTTTTCTTTTCCAATCTGACAACAAATCACTAAAGTGCTGAGTTTTAGTAAAAGAAAACAACAAAAAATTACAATTTCCAGATTTTCATCTGTTTGTGCTTGTGTATGGGCAATTGTGTGCCTGTGTGTGTTCGCAGTGATTGCGATGTTTACCAGATATTTACTCGATATCTGGCATATCGATGTACTATCGTGGGGAAGTATCACCACCAACGACTTGCCGAAGGGGCTTATCAGTTTTTATTAACTATTTCGGGGGTTTTATATTGTTGATAATCCCTGTAATTCGATTTTTTTTTATTTTGTGCACTGTGTATAGTGTGACCGCGGCTTCTTGCCGTTTAATTACTTCCCTCGACCCATATGGTATTTTATTTTATAATTATACCATTCAAACACCCTTAATGAAAAATACTAACTGCGCGCGAAATTTAACTATGAATTATGCAATTTCTGCACAATAATTAAAATATTTGTTTATAAAAGTTTTTTTATTCATTAAAAATCTTTAATCCAGCTTAAAGAAGGAAGAATTAAAACGAAAAAAACAAGTTGCATTAATAAAGTAACAAAAATGTTGAAAATAATTTATAATATGCACCCTAAATTAAATATCAAATGTTTATTTGCATTTATAAATATTAATCGATTTAACAACAAAATTTTATAATTCTGAAATAATTTTGTAATATTTTATTAAGCACTCTTTATTTAGCTTTTTAAACACCTAGCCTTTAATTATTCAATATTTATAAGGTGCAGTTTGTTATTCAAATGTAAATAAAAACAATTTATTAAAACAATACAAAAAGACAAAATACCTCAGTGATAAATGCTATGTAAATAAAGTTCGGATCACAAACATATGTATCGCGCAGGCTACTACCTCTTTTCATTAGAGATTAAACTCGAAAACATATGTGCAAATATTTAGCGGAGTACAACAATAGACTTTTTTTGAGAATATATAAAACAGCAACCACGTTATTATAAGTTTATTCTGCGTTTCAAGCAAAAATGAAGTCACTGGTTTTATTTCTGGTTTTTTCGGTGGTACTGGTGGTAATATCATGTGCCAACGCCGAAGATTACTCATTTACTGAAGCCGCTCCGACAACGACAGAATCTCCATCAGTTCCCCAACGGTCATGGACGGACTTCACCAAGTTTTTAAGGAGCAGCAGTACAGGAAACAAGTTCTACTTTTTCTTTTAACTAAAAAAAAGATTTTCAATAAAAAAAATCCTACTTGTCATTCGCAAAATGTGAATTATTTTATTTTGTAAACGTATAAACATACAATTTCTTCAAGACTTGGCAAGATGTTTGGTACCAGCATTTTTAAATTAATAAAGAAATTTAAAGAAGCAGTATTCAACGAATCATTGGAAAAGGTTTTTTTAATTGCAACGAACAGGCAGTTGCTTTTGAAAGACTACTTTCTTTCTTATCTGGTATTTAAAATTGTAGAATTAATTAATCTGAGCTTTCTATTACTTAATAAAAGAATTATACAAAAAAATGTTATTGTGAGTATCTCAACGGCAGTTTTTTTGGACTAACTAACTAATGAGGTTAGTTTAAATATGTTATCAGCAGCCCCTAATAAATGGGTACAACAGGATATTAAGGCAACCACGCAAGGAGTATAATTTTTCAACTATTGTTATTGGTGTCGACCCAAAAAGGAAAAAACGATTTTATAATATTCAAATGCATATATTTTACAATCGTATTAATTAAAGTCCTAGCCCTTTTACTCTGGCTTTATCCATAGAGGGAAAACTTTAATATTGATTGCTCCAACCGCCCCATCCGCCTCCATATGGCCATCCATACCGCCAGCTTGGCCTGGCTCCAACGCCCATCCAACGTCCGTTGCCCCACCAATAGGGATACTGCCCGGTTGCGCCGACGACACCACCTTGGATCTTAGTTGCGTCACTGGAACTCTCCGACAGTTGTCCATCTACGGATTCCGCTTCATTGTTCGAGCTTCCGTGGTCTTGTGTGGAGCTCCTGGTCCAGGAGTTCGACTTCTGGAACTGACCATCTCGAGCAGTCTGGCCTCGAGCTAAACGGAAACGAATGTCTGGAGATCCCTGGACACCAGAACTGCCACTTGAGAATCCTGAGCGCTGGGACCAGGACTGTCCGCCCCGAGATCCGATTCCACCGCCAATGGAACCAGAAACAGATGAGCCATCACTGTCGTTGGCCTCACCATCTGTGGGGCTTCTTTTAATCAGCTTTGACCAGGAACTCGAAGAATCTCCTCCAACTCCTCCACCAACAGAGATACCGGCATCAAGAATTGGCAGGGTTAATCGGATAGGATTAGATGTTTTCTGCGACGAACTAGACCAAGTGTATTTAGTCTGAGTTTTTGGAACCGATGACGTTATGGTTGTAGTTGTAGATTTGCTTGAAGTAGAACTAGACTTTCCATTTGACTCAGGAATTTTGGAGTTGTTTGAGGTATACGTTTTTGTCGTCTTAGTCGATGTTGAGCTGAACTTTTCGCCATTATTCGATATGCTGGCGTCAACTACAGGTAAAGTCAAGCTATCTGACAATTTACTTCCTGTGGTAGATGTTGTTGTAGTCGTTGTTGTCGATGTTGAGCTTGACTTTCCGCCATTAAGTGAAATGCTGGCATCCACGAGAGGTAACGAGGAGGTACCTGATGAATTGCTTCCTTTAATGGTGGTTGTTGTAGTCGTTGTTGAAGATTTTGAGCCCGACTTGTCGTCATTCAGCGAAAAGCTGGCGTCAACTACCGGAAGAGACAAGCTATCTGACAATTTATTTCCTGTGGTAGATGTTGTTGTAGTCGTTGTTGACGATGTTGAGCTTGACTTTCCGCCGTTAAGTGAAATGCTGGCATCCACGAGAGGTAACGAGGAGGTACCTGATGAATTGCTTCCTTTAATGGTGGTGGTTGTAGTCGTTGTTGAAGATTTTGAGCCCGACTTGTCGTCATTCAGCGAAAAGCTGGCGTCAACTACCGGAAGAGACAAGCTATCTGACAATTTACTTCCTGTGGTAGATGTTGTTGTAGTCGTTGTTGACGATGTTGAGCTTGACTTTCCGCCATTAAGTGAAATGCTGGCATCCACGAGAGGTAACGAGGAGGTACCTGATGAATTGCTTCCTTTAATGGTGGTTGTTGTAGTCGTTGTTGAAGATTTTGAGCCCGACTTGCCGGCATTCAGCGAAAAGCTGGCGTCAACTACCGGAAGAGACAAGCTATCTGAGAATTTATTTCCTGTGGTAGATGTTGTTGTAGTCGTTGTTGACGATGTTGAGCTTGACTTTCCGCCATTAAGTGAAATGCTGGCATCCACGACAGGTAACGGGGAGGTACCTGATGAATTGCTTTCTTTGGTGGTGGTTGTTGTAGTCGTTGTTGAAGATTTTGAGCCTGACTTGCCGCCATTCAGCGAAAAGCTGGCGTCAACTACCGGAAGAGACAAGCTATCTGACAATTTATTTCCTGTGGTAGATGTTGTTGTAGTCGTTGTTGACGATGTTGAGCTTGACTTTCCGCCGTTAAGTGAAATGCTGGCATCCACGAGAGGTAACGAGGAGGTACCTGATGAATTGCTTCCTTTAATGGTGGTTGTTGTAGTCGTTGTTGAAGATTTTGAGCCCGACTTGCCGCCATTCAGCGAAAAGCTGGCGTCAACTACCGGAAGAGACAAGCTATCTGAGAATTTATTTCCTGTGGTAGATGTTGTTGTAGTCGTTGTTGACGATGTTGAGCTTGACTTTCCGCCATTAAGTGAAATGCTGGCATCCACGACAGGTAACGGGGAGGTACCTGATGAATTGCTTTCTTTGGTGGTGGTTGTTGTAGTCGTTGTTGAAGATTTTGAGCCTGACTTGCCGCCATTCAGCGAAAAGCTGGCGTCAACTATCGGAAGAGACAAGCTATCTGACAATTGATTTCCTGTGGTAGATGCTGTTGTAGTCGTTGTTGACGATGTTGAGCTTGACTTTCCGCCATTAAGTGAAATGCTGGCATCCACGAGAGGTAACGAGGAGGTACCTGATGAATTGCTTCCTTTAATGGTGGTTGTTGTAGTCGTTGTTGAAGATTTTGAGCCCGACTTGCCGCCATTCAGCGATAAGCTGGCGTCAACTACCGGAAGAGACAAGCTATCTGAGAATTTATTTCCTGTGGTAGATGTTGTTGTAGTCGTTGTTGACGATGTTGAGCTTGACTTTCCGCCATTAAGTGAAATGCTGGCATCCACGAGAGGTAACGAGGAGGTACCTGATGAATTGCTTTCTTTGGTGGTGGTTGTTGTAGTCGTTGTTGAAGATTTTGAGCCTGACTTGCCGCCATTCAGCGAAAAGCTGGCGTCAACTACAGGTAAAGTCAAGCTATCTGACAATTTATTTCCTGTGGTAGATGTTGTTGTAGTCGTTGTTGACGATGTTGAGCTTGACTTTCCGCCGTTAAGTGAAATGCTGGCATCCACGAGAGGTAACGAGGAGGTACCTGATGAATTGCTTTCTTTGGTGGTGGTTGTTGTAGTCGTTGTTGAAGATTTTGAGCCTGACTTGCCGCCATTCAGCGAAAAGCTGGCGTCAACTACCGGAAGAGACAAGCTATCTGACAATTGATTTCCTGTTGTAGATGCTGTTGTAGTCGTTGTTGACGATGTTGAGCTTGACTTTCCGCCATTAAGTGAAATGCTGGCATCCACGAGAGGTAACGAGGAGGTACCTGATGAATTGCTTCCTTTAATGGTGGTTGTTGTAGTCGTTGTTGAAGATTTTGAGCCCGACTTGCCGCCATTCAGCGAAAAGCTGGCGTCAACTACCGGAAGAGACAAGCTATCTGAGAATTTATTTCCTGTGGTAGATGTTGTTGTAGTCGTTGTTGACGATGTTGAGCTTGACTTTCCGCCATTAAGTAAAATGCTGGCATCCACGAGAGGTAACGAGGAGGTACCTGATGAATTGCTTTCTTTGGTGGTGGTTGTTGTAGTCGTTGTTGAAGATTTTGAGCCTGACTTGCCGCCATTCAGCGAAAAGCTGGCGTCAACTACCGGAAGAGACAAGCTATCTGACAATTGATTTCCTGTGGTAGATGCTGTTGTAGTCGTTGTTGACGATGTTGAGCTTGACTTTCCGCCATTAAGTGAAATGCTGGCATCCACGAGAGGTAACGAGGAGGTACCTGATGAATTGCTTCCTTTAATGGTGGTTGTTGTAGTCGTTGTTGAAGATTTTGAGGCTGACTTCCCGCCATTCAGCGAAAAGCTGGCGTCAACTGCCGGAAGAGACAAGCTATCTGACAATTTATTTCCTGTGGTAGATGTTGTTGTAGTCGTTGTTGACGATGTTGAGCTTGACTTTCCGCCATTAAGTGAAATGGTGGCATCAACTTGAGGTTCCGATAAGGTACTTGACGATTTGCTTCCTTTGGTGGTGGTTGTGGTAGTCGTTGTTGAAGATTTTGAACCTGACTTTCCGCCATTAAAATATGTACTGGCATCAATTACCGGAAGAGACATGCTATCTGACAACTTATTTCCTGTGGTGGATGTTGTTGTAGTCGTTGTTGACGAAGTTGTGCTTGACTTTCCGCCATTTACTGATATGTTGGCATCAACTAAAGGCAGCGATGAGGTACTTGAAGATTTGGATCCTTTGGTTGTGGTTGTTGTAGTTGTCGTTGAAGACTTTGAGTTTGACTTTCCGCCATTACCAACTATGCTGGCGTCAACATCTGGTAAAGATGACGTACTTAACTGTTCACTACCGTTGCTGGTGGTTGTTGTTGTTGTGGTTGAAGAGCGGATAGATTTTCCACCCTTTGTTAGTGAACTTCCTTTAGTTATTTTGATTAGAGGCGATGGTTCAGCAAACTGACTTTCAGAGGTAGTTGTAGTTGTGGTGGCCTGGTTTGAGCTTCCATTATCGTTCAAAGAGCTACCCTGACTGATTTCGACCAGAGGGTCGGTAGATGTGCTAGATTGACTCATGTCTGAAGAAGTCGTGGTTGTCGTGCTCGACGATGTATTCCTTGATTTCCTACCATTCCAATTTTTTTTCGATGAACGAGACCAGGAGTGCTTGCTCTTAGGTGATGAAGAGGAATTTGAAGTTGTTGTTGTTGTAGTTTCGGTAGAGGAGGTGCTTGATTTTCCATTAGACTTGGGAACCTTGGAGGTTTTTGACGAATATGTTTTTGTAGTTTTAGTCTTGGATGAGCTTGATTTGCCACCATTATCTACTACAGGCAGAGATGAAGAGCTGGACTGATCGCTTTCGTCAGTTGAGGTTACTGTAGTAGTTGTGGATGACTGGTTCGATTGTCCATCATCGTTCGAAGCACCAACAGCAGCATCGGCTATTGAGTCAGACGAGTCAACAGACGAACTCTCATTTTTATTTTTGCGGTTTGCCCACCGCTTGGTCCAATATTTCCCAAACTTGCCACCATTGTATATTTTCTTTGATGAACTCGACCAGGAGTGTTTGATCTTAGGTGTTGCAGAAGAGCTTGACGATACAGTTGTTGTAGAGCTCGAGTTCATTTTTCCATTTGACTTTGGAACCTTTGATGTCTTTGACGAATAAGTCTTTGTGGTTTTTGTCCATTTTGAGCCTGATTTTCCGCCCTTACCTACAATAATGGAATCTACCGGAAGGGATGGGGCATTACTGCTGGTGGATGTGGTTGTCGTGGTAGTCGAAGAAGATTGGCTTGAAAGTCCATCAGCGGACAAAGACTGACTGGAGCTTCCATCAGCATTTGAGGAGCTTCCCTGAGTAACTGCTACAACAGGAGCAGACGAGTCGGTGGATTGACCTTCATTCAAGGTTGTTGTTGTTGTCGCTGTGGTCGTTGATTGGCTAGACTTTCCATCTCCATTCGAGAAACTTCCCTGAGTGACTTCCACAATAGGGTCAGACGAAGTGCTGGACTGGCTTTCATCCGAAGAAGTTGTCGTGGTTGTTGTAGACGAAGACTGAGTGGAGCTTCCCTCAGCATTCGAGGAGCTTCCTTGAGTGACTTCAACAACAGGAGCAGGCGAGTCGGTGGATTGACCTTCATTCGTGGTCGTTGTCGTTGTGGTTGTGGTTGTAGAGTGGCTAGAGTTTCCATCTACATTCGAGGAACTTCCCTGAGTGACTACCACAGTAGGGTCAGACGAAGAGCTGGACTGGCTTTCATCCGAAGAAGTTGTCGTGGTTGTTGTAGACGAAGACTGATTGGAGCTTCCCTCAGCATTCGAAGAGCTTCCTTGAGTGACTTCTACAACAGGAGCAGACGAGTCGGTGGATTGACCTTCATTTGAGGTTGTTGTCGTTGTGGTTGTGGTCGTGGAATGGCTAGAGTTTACATCTCCATTCGTGGAACTTCCCTGAGTGACTTCCGCAGTAGGGTCAGACGAGCTGGACTGGCTTTCATCCGAAGAAGTTGTCGTGGTTGTTGTAGACGAAGACTGATTGGAGCTTCCCTCAGCATTCGTAGAGCTTCCTTGAGTGACTTCTACAACAGGAGCAGACGAGTCGGTGGATTGACCTTCATTTGAGGTTGTCGTTGTTGTGGTTGTGGTCGTGGATTGGTTAGAGTTTCCATCTCCATTCGAGGAACTTCCCTGAGTGACTTCCACAATAGGGTCAGACGAAGTGCTGGACTGGCTTTCATCCGAAGAAGTTGTCGTGGTAGTTGTAGACGAAGACTGAGTGGAGCTTCCCTTAGTATTCGAGGAGCTTCCTTGAGTGGCTTCTACAACAGGAGCAGACGAGTCGGTGGATTGACCTTCATTTGAGGTTGTCGTTGTTGTGGTTGTGGTCGTGGATTGGTTAGAGTTTCCATCTCCATTCGAGGAACTTCCCTGAGTGACTTCCACAATAGGGTCAGACGAAGTGCTGGACTGGCTTTCATCCGAAGAAGTTGTCGTGGTTGTTGTAGACGAAGACTGAGTGGAGCTTCCCTCAGCATTCGAGGAGCTTCCTTGAGTGACTTCAACAACAGGAGCAGGCGAGTCGGTGGATTGACCTTCATTTGAGGTTGTCGTTGTTGTGGTTGTGGTCGTGGATTGGTTAGAGTTTCCATCTCCATTCGAGGAACTTCCCTGAGTGACTTCCACAATAGGGTCAGACGAAGTGCTGGACTGGCTTTCATCCGAAGAAGTTGTCGTGGTAGTTGTAGACGAAGACTGAGTGGAGCTTCCCTTAGTATTCGAGGAGCTTCCTTGAGTGGCTTCTACAACAGGAGCAGACGAGTCGGTGGATTGACCTTCATTTGAGGTTGTCGTTGTTGTGGTTGTGGTCGTGGATTGGTTAGAGTTTCCATCTCCATTCGAGGAACTTCCCTGAGTGACTTCCACAATAGGGTCAGACGAAGTGCTGGACTGGCTTTCATCCGAAGAAGTTGTCGTGGTTGTTGTAGACGAAGACTGAGTGGAGCTTCCCTCAGCATTCGAGGAGCTTCCTTGAGTGACTTCAACAACAGGAGCAGGCGAGTCGGTGGATTGACCTTCATTCGTGGTCGTTGTCGTTGTGGTTGTGGTTGTAGAGTGGCTAGAGTTTCCATCTACATTCGAGGAACTTCCCTGAGTGACTACCACAGTAGGGTCAGACGAAGAGCTGGACTGGCTTTCATCCGAAGAAGTTGTCGTGGTTGTTGTAGACGAAGACTGATTGGAGCTTCCCTCAGCATTCGAAGAGCTTCCTTGAGTGACTTCTACAACAGGAGCAGACGAGTCGGTGGATTGACCTTCATTTGAGGTTGTTGTCGTTGTGGTTGTGGTCGTGGAATGGCTAGAGTTTACATCTCCATTCGTGGAACTTCCCTGAGTGACTTCCGCAGTAGGGTCAGACGAGCTGGACTGGCTTTCATCCGAAGAAGTTGTCGTGGTTGTTGTAGACGAAGACTGATTGGAGCTTCCCTCAGCATTCGTAGAGCTTCCTTGAGTGACTTCTACAACAGGAGCAGACGAGTCGGTGGATTGACCTTCATTTGAGGTTGTCGTTGTTGTGGTTGTGGTCGTGGATTGGTTAGAGTTTCCATCTCCATTCGAGGAACTTCCCTGAGTGACTTCCACAATAGGGTCAGACGAAGTGCTGGACTGGCTTTCATCCGAAGAAGTTGTCGTGGTAGTTGTAGACGAAGACTGAGTGGAGCTTCCCTTAGTATTCGAGGAGCTTCCTTGAGTGGCTTCTACAACAGGAGCAGACGAGTCGGTGGATTGACCTTCATTTGAGGTTGTCGTTGTTGTGGTTGTGGTCGTGGATTGGTTAGAGTTTCCATCTCCATTCGAGGAACTTCCCTGAGTGACTTCCACAATAGGGTCAGACGAAGTGCTGGACTGGCTTTCATCCGAAGATGTTGTCGTGGTAGATGTAGACGAAGACTGAGTGGAGCTTCCCTCAGTATTCGAGGAGCTTCCTTGATTGACTTCTACCACAGGAGCCGACGAGTCGGTGGATTGACCTTCATTTGAGGTTGTTGTCGTTGTGGTTGTGGTCGTGGAATGGCTAGAGTTTACATCTCCATTCGTGGAACTTCCCTGAGTGACTTCCGCAGTAGGGTCAGACGAGCTGGACTGGCTTTCATCCGAAGAAGTTGTCGTGGTTGTTGTAGACGAAGACTGATTGGAGATTCCCTCAGCATTCGAAGAGCTTCCTTGAGTGACTTCTACAACAGGAGCAGACGAGTCGGTGGATTGACCTTCATTTGAGGTTGTCGTTGTTGTGGTTGTGGATTGGTTAGAGTTTCCATCTCCATTCGAGGAACTTCCCTGAGTGACTTCCACAATTGGGTCAGGCGAAGTGCTGGACTGGCTTTCATCCGAAGATGTTGTCGTGGTAGTTGTAGACGAAGACTGAGTGGAGCTTCCCTCAGTATTCGAGGAGCTTCCTTGAGTGACTTCTACAACAGGAGCAGACGAGTCGGTGGATTGACCTTCATTTGAGGTTGTCGTTGTTGTGGTTGTGGTCGTGGATTGGTTAGAGTTTCCATCTCCATTCGAGGAACTTCCCTGAGTGACTTCCACAATAGGGTCAGACGAAGAGCTGGACTGGCTTTCATCCGAAGATGTTGTCGTGGTAGTTGTAGACGAAGACTGAGTGGAACTTCCCTCAGTGACTTCCACAGTCGGGTTAGACGAAGAGCTGGACTGGCTTTCATCCGAAGACGTTGTAGTAGTTGTTGTAGACGAAGACTGACTAGAGCTTCCCTCAGCATTTGATGAGCTTCCTTGAGTGACTTCTACAACAGGAGCAGACGAGTCGGTGGATTGACCTTCATTTGAGGTTGTTGTCGTTGTGGTTGTGGTCGTGGATTGGCTAGAGTTTCCATCTCCATTCGAGGAACTTCCCTGAGTGACCTCCACAGTAGGGTCAGACGAAGAGCTGGACTGGCTTTCATCCGAAGAAGTCGTCGTGGTTGTTGTAGACGAAGACTGAGTGGAGCTTCCCTCAGTATTCGAGGAGCTTACCTCAGCATTCGAGGAGCTTCCTTGAGTGACTTCTACAACAGGAGCAGACGAGTCGGTGGATTGACCTTCATTTGAGGTTGTTGTCGTTGTGGTTGTGGATTGGCTAGAGTTTCCATCTCCATTCGAGGAACTTCCCTGAGTGACTTCCACAGTAGGGTCAGACGAGCTGGACTGGCTTTCATCCGAAGAAGTTGTCGTGGTTGTTGTAGACGAAGACTGAGTGGAGCTTCCCTCAGTATTCGAGGAGCTTCCTTGAGTGACTTCTACAACAGGAGCAGACGTGTCGGTGGATTGACTTTCATTTGAGGTTGTTGTCGTTGTGGTTGTGGTCGTGGATTGGCTAGAGTTTCCATCTCCATTCGAGGAACTTCCCTGAGTGACTTCCACAGTAGGGTCAGACGAGCTGGACTGGCTTTCATCCGAAGAAGTTGTCGTGGTTGTTGTAGACGAAGACTGAGTGGAGCTTCCCTCAGTATTCGAGGAGCTTCCTTGAGTGACTTCTACAACAGGAGCAGGCGAGTCGGTGGATTGACCTTCATCCGTGGTCGTTGTCGTTGTGGTTGTGGTTGTAGAGTGGCTAGCGTTTCCATCTTCATTCGAGGAACTTCCCTGAGTGACTTCCACAGTAGGGTCAGACGAGCTGGACTGGCTTTCATCCGAAGAAGTTGTCGTGGTTGTTGTAGACGAAGACTGAGTGGAGCTTCCCTCAGTATTCGAGGAGCTTCCTTGAGTGACTTCTACAACAGGAGCAGACGTGTCGGTGGATTGACCTTCATTTGAGGTTGTTGTCGTTGTGGTTGTGGTCGTGGATTGGCTAGAGTTTCCATCTCCATTCGAGGAACTTCCCTGAGTGACCTCCACAGTAGGGTCAGACGAAGAGCTGGACTGGCTTTCATCCGAAGAAGTCGTCGTGGTTGTTGTAGACGAAGACTGAGTGGAGCTTCCCTCAGTATTCGAGGAGCTTACCTCAGCATTCGAGGAGCTTCCTTGAGTGACTTCTACAACAGGAGCAGACGAGTCGGTGGATTGACCTTCATTTGAGGTTGTTGTCGTTGTGGTTGTGGTCGTGGATTGGCTAGAGTTTCCATCTCCATTCGAGGAACTTCCCTGAGTGACTTCCACAGTAGGGTCAGACGAGCTGGACTGGCTTTCATCCGAAGAAGTTGTCGTGGTTGTTGTAGACGAAGACTGAGTGGAGCTTCCCTCAGTATTCGAGGAGCTTCCTTGAGTGACTTCTACAGCAGGAGCAGACGAGTCGCTGGATTGACCTTCATTTGAGGTTGTTGTCGTTGTGGTTGTGGTCGTGGATTGGCTAGAGCTTCCATCTCCATTCGAGGAACTTCCCTGAGTGTCCTCCACAGTAGGGTCAGACGAAGAGCTGGACTGGCTTTCATCCGAAGAAGTTGCCGTGGTTGTTGTAGACGAAGACTGAGTGGAGCTTCCCTCAGTATTCGAGGAGCTTCCTTGAGTGACTTCTACAACAGGAGCAGACGAATCGGTGGATTGACCTTCATTTGAGGTTGTTGTCGTTATGGTTGTGGTCGTGGATTGGCTAGAGTTTCCATCTCCGTTCGAGGAACTTCCCTGAGTGACTTCCACAGTAGGGTCAGACGAGCTGGACTGGCTTTCATCCGAAGAAGTTGTCGTGGTTGTTGTAGACGAAGACTGAGTGGAGCTTCCCTCAGTATTCGAGGAGCTTCCTTGAGTGACTTCTACAGCAGGAGCAGACGAATCGGTGGATTGACCTTCATTTGAGGTTGTTGTCGTTGTGGTTGTGGTCGTGGATTGGCTAGAGTTTCCATCTCCATTCGAGGAACTTCCCTGAGTGACTTCCACAGTAGGGTCAGACGAGCTGGACTGGCTTTCATCCGAAGAAGTTGTCGTGGTTGTTGTAGACGAAGACTGAGTGGAGCTTCCCTCAGTATTCGAGGAGCTTCCTTGAGTGACTTCTACAACAGGAGCAGGCGAGTCGGTGGATTGACCTTCATTCGTGGTCGTTGTCGTTGTGGTTGTGGTTGTAGAGTGGCTAGCGTTTCCATCTCCATTCGAGGAACTTCCCTGACTGACTACCACAGTAGGGTCAGACGAAGAGCTAGACTGGCTTTCATCCGAAGACGTTGTCGTGGTTGTTGTAGACGAAGACTGAGTGGAGCTTCCCTCAGCATTCGAGGAGCTTCCTTGAGTGACTTCTAAAACAGGAGCAGACGAGTCGGTGGATTGACCTTCATTCGTGGTCGTTGTCGTTGTGGTTGTGGTCGTGGATTGGCTAGAGTTTCCATCTCCATTCGAGGAACTTCCCTGAGTGACTTCCACAATAGGGTCAGACGAAGAGCTGGACTGGCTTTCATCCGAAGATGTTGTGGTGGTTATTGTAGACGAAGACTGAGTGGAGCTTCCCTCAGAATTCGAGGAGTTTCCTTGATTGACTTCTACAACAGGAGCAGACGAGTCGGTGGATTGACCTTCATTTGAGGTTGTTGTCGTTGTGGTTGTGGTCGTGGATTGGCTAGAGTTTCCATCTCCATTCGAGGAACTTCCCTGAGTGACTTCCACAGTAGGGTCAGACGAGCTGGACTGGCTTTCATCCGAAGAGGTTGTCGTGGTTGTTGTAGACGAAGACTGAGTGGAGCTTCCCTCAGTATTCGAGGAGCTTCCTTGAGTGACTTCTACAACAGGAGCAGACGAATCGGTGGATTGACCTTCATTTGAGGTTGTTTTCGTTGTGGTTGTGGTCGTGGATTGGCTAGAGTTTCCATCTCCATTCGAGGAACTTCCCTGAGTGACTTCCACAGTAGGGTCAGACGAGCTGGACTGGCTTTCATCCGAAGAAGTTGTCGTGGTTGTTGTAGACGAAGACTGAGTGGAGCTTCCATCAGCATTCGAGGAGCTTCCTTGAGTGACTTCTACAACAGGAGCAGACGAGTCGGTGGATTGACCTTCATTTGAGGTTGTTGTCGTTGTGGTTGTGGATTGGCTAGAGTTTCCATCTCCATTCGAGGAACTTCCCTGAGTAACTTCCACAGTAGGGTCAGACGAGCTGGACTGGCTTTCATCCGAAGAAGTTGTCGTGGTTGTTGTAGACGAAGACTGAGTGGAGCTTCCTTCAGCATTCGAGGAGCTTCCTTGAGAGACTTCTACAACAGGAGCAGACGAGTCGGCGGATTGACCTTCATTCGTAGTCGTTGTCGTTGTGGTTGTGGTCGTAGATTGGCTAGAGTTTTCATTCGAGGCACTTCCCTGAGCAACTTCCACAGTAGGGTCAGACGAGCTGGACTGGCTTTCGTCCGAAGACGTTGTCGTGGTTGTTGTAGACGAAGATTGAGTGGAGCTTCCCTCAGCATTCGAGGAGCTTCCTTGAGTGACTTCTACAACAGGAGCAGACGAGTCGGTGGATTGACCTTCATTCGTGGTTGTTGTCGTTGTGGTTGTGGTCGTGGATTGGTTAGAGATTCCATCTCCATTCGAGGAACTTCCCTGAGTGACTTCCACAATAGGGTCAGACGAAGTGCTCGATTGGCTCTCATCCGAAGATGTTGTGGTGGTTGTTGTGGACGAAGACTGACTAGAGCTTCCCTCAGCATTTGATGAGCTTCCTTGAGTGACTTCTACAACAGGAGCAGACGAGTCGGTGGATTGACCTTCATTCGTGGTTGTTGTCGTTGTGGTTGTGGTCGTGGATTGGCTAGAGTTTGCATCTCCATTCGAGGAACTTCCCTGTGTGACTTCCACAATAGGGTCAGACGAAGTGCTTGATTGGCTCTCATCCGAAGATGTTGTCGTGGTTGTCGTGGACGAGGACTGACTGGAGCCTCCATTAGCGTTCGAGGAGCTTTCCTGAGTGCCTTCTACAAAAGAAGCAGAGTCCGTAGATTGACTTCCATCCGAGGACGTTGTCGTTGTGGTTGTTGTTGAGGATTGGCTAGTCAAACCATCATCGAATATGGTGTCGGAAGAGCTTGACGGTTCGGTCTCATCGTTTGAAGTTGTGGTAGATGCAGATTGATTCGTGGAAATTGTGTCACTACTTTCACTTGGGTCTGCATCGGAGAGTTCAAGTAGCTTTTTCCCGTTGGCACAATTTACATAATTCGAGTTTCCAAGCAATTCTCCGTCGTGCAAAAGAATTAACTTTCCGAAAAGCCTGTCCAGCAGCCACAGGCGTATATCCTTTCGTATTTCAATTAGAGTTTGTCTAACACTTTCACAACATGGCTGTGGTTTTATATCCGGGGTGGCCACCGCCGTTACCGTTTGAGATTGGGATTGAGCCGCTGTGAGGGCCAAAAAAGCAGCCAAAACCGCGACGAAAATCAAACGCATGATCCGCAAAGCAACCGGGCGTTTGATGAATTAGATCTGTTGGCCAAATTTTAATTTCCAAACCTTTTATACCCTTGCTCGGTTGTATCGATATTTTTTTGGCTATTTGCGTAGATGCTTGTCTAGCTTGCAAATTTTATTTGCTAAAGAACATTTGGTACTTCAATTGTCTAAGAAAAACATAATAACTGTACAAATTCACAAAACTCAAGATAAATATCTATTAAAAACCTGTTTAAGAACCAACTGTGCAAAATATTTGTTCTTAGCTTGGAATAAACACTTGTTAGATATTTTGACTTTACGTAAATCGCTCGCTCGTGTCAAAAGTGTACGTCAGAGGTGCATTAACCGATTTTGGAACCATTGTTTAATAGCACACGAGAACCGTTTATTTGAACAGCCAGTTATATACAATAGAAGATACCATATGCAAAAATGCTAAGACATAATTTCCAGGTTTGTTTATTCGTACGATTAAAGATTAAATGATTATGTAACAAATAGTAAATTTGAACTCCCCACTGTGTCGCCTATTAGTATTCGTCCTTCTCGAATGGGTGGTGGGGGTGACCGTAGTGGCTGCAAATGTTCAAATTCAAAAGTTATAAGTTCAGTTTGTTCAAGAACATTTCATAAGAAGAAATAAAGACAATGGCAATGCAAACAACATCTACGAAAAACTTCAACTACTTTCAAGCGTAAAAAATAAAAAATAATCAACACAGCAAATAAAGCATTTTAAAACACAAGCAAGGAGCGGTAAACTAATCAAAAAAGCTAAGTCAACTAAGCTTAAGTAAACACAAACAATCGAAAGAAAAACACGTATGCGACTAAAGTAATGAAAACATACGTTAACCTCATGTTTATGTAGATATTTTTCTTGCAATAGGTTCATTTCGCATTATGAATAATTTCCCATTTAAAGGTATTCTGCTTCATTTTATTTTTTGGTTTGCAGGTATCGCTTTCTTTAAGCTTAATACTCATCGTGAAATGGATAGTACTTATGGGTACCATGACTAAATTGTAAATAGAAATGTATAGATATAATTAAAGAAAATATTATATATATTATATTCTATATATATATATGTTTAACCCTTAAACCAAGTTTGATAAATAATAAATATAAAATTCTTGAGGGTAGACTTACTTGAGCAGGGGCACGAGACGACCATTGCACTCGAAGCTCTCGATGATTTCGATTTCCTCGGGTGTCAGCTCAAAGTCAAAGACCTGGAAGTTCGACTCGATGCGCTCCTTGGTCACCGACTTGGGGATAACAATGTTGGCGCGCTGCACCTGATAGCGGATGAGGATCTGTCCAGGAGTCTTGTTTTTCTTGGTGGCTATCTCCTTGATCTATAGGTGTAAGTTGTATTTTAGTTATACTAAACTACCCAAAGTAATAATGAACATACCTTTGCCTCCTCTAGAATGACTGGGTCGCCAGCTTTGGCCCATGGACGGTTGGGAGATCCCAAGGGACTGTAGGCGGTGATCGCAATATCCTTCGACTTGCAGAAATCGATCAGCTTCTTCTGTGTCAGGTATGGGTGGCACTCGATCTGGTTGGTTGCCGGTGGAATGGTGGCCACCTCAAGCACACGCTCAATCTGTCGCCTGTTGAAGTTAGAAACACCAATGGACTTGACCAGACCTTCCTCCACCAACTTCTCCATGGCCTTCCACGTATCGACATAGTCGACTGGTGAGTACAGGGTCTTGCCATCCTTGTCGGTGGGGAACAGCTCACAGCCCTCCTTGAATCCCATGGGCCAGTGAATGAGGTACAGGTCGAGGTACTTGAGCTTCAGGGCACTCAACGTGTTCTCCAGAGCAGGCTTGACCAGATCGGGGCGATGGACAGTGTTCCACAGCTTGCTGGTGATGAACAAATCCTCGCTGCAAGTCGGTGATGTTCAATACCATGGTTCGCAAAATGTCAAATACTCAAAGACTCACCGCTTGACAACGCCCTCCTTGATCTTGGCCTCAACGCCCTCTCCGACCTCATCCTCATTCTGGTAGACATGGGCACAGTCGATGTGCCTATATCCGGCATCAATGGCCACTTTCACAGCCTCGGTGACCTCACCTTTGGGGCTCTGGAAATATAAACAAGCCATAATGTATTTATAAAATGGTAAATTAAGTAAAATATATTTTAAAATAAATAAAGTAAGTAGGTGTAATCCTTAAAAGTAACAAATAGTATATCTGCTTTACTCACCGAGTTTGCAAAATTGTAGTAAATATCTGACTGTTATTAATTCACTTATAAATAAGCTTTCACACTCTTCACGGTTAATAATCTATTCGCAAACAATTATTGCAAGTAATACTGTGAATAAGAAAGGAAGGTCTATCGGGACGTATAGAACATATTTATCTCCAGCATTCATAAGTACGTCACCATGGAACATTCTAAACTCCAAACGGAATTTCGCAATTTGATGTCGAGCAAAGTTTCAGTTATTAGGAGCGTGATTTAGAAATCGAACCAGTCTATCTGACACTTGACGTCACTTATCAGCCCCCTTAGTTTCCGCATCCAAAAAAACCCAGAAAGATCAGAATTGGGTCAGGCCAATGAAATACAGTTTAGACTTAAGCACGTGAAAGTTTGAACTATAAAAAGGGTCAGTCTTGAGAAATGCTCATTAAAATGGGAAACGGATGTACAAATTGATTTACATTTTCACAAAGCTGTTTAATAATTGCTCATTTATATTTTAAATGTTGCTTAATCTTCCAAAAAAATGATAGGTCAAAGACTGCCATTTAGTTTTGACATAATTAGTATATATTGCGTACGCTAGAAAGTTTTTAATTTATGGGTTGGGGAGCAAGCCTTCCTATATTGTGTTCTACAAATAGTGCACACAAACTTAAACAGATTACGGAATTTTTACAAAAATACCCTTATAATACCCTTGCTAATTTAAACTCAGCTTATCAACAATATTCCCACCGCAATCTTAACAGATTTTCCATTAGAAATTGTACTCAACTTAGTGTTTTGAATACTAAGTTCGTTAAAGGGGTGCGTCTTTCGTGAATACTTGAACTACAACCTATCCCCATATTTCATTTCGATCCCTTGAAATAACTAAAGCAATCTCGTGTAGAAATCTCCACTTTAGATAAGAACTTTTATCAACTCCTGTCAGCCGACTAACTACATATGTACATATGTACCCCAAATATTTATATGAATGTTTGTCGGGGTGTATCAAGAAGTGATGAGGCAAATATTTGCGAAAAGTTTCCACAGCCATAAGAAGGTAAAAAGGGTCACCTTGGCGAATAGGTCACAGAGATCCTCAAAACATGTAGTATGTGATATTTTAGTGAACGTGTAAAACCGTTAATTAGCATAATGGCTATGGAAAATCAGTTATTTTTGTATTAAAGCTGCTAGATTCCACACTCCCACACAAACATATACAATTATATTTGTATAAACAGAATGACCGGCAAAACATAGCCGGCTAACTATCAGCAATACGACGCGTGTCAATTTTTTTATCCCCTATTTTTCAGCAAAAAGCTAAATGAAATGGGGGAAAAAAAAAACAACGGAAGGCGTGGGCAGCGGAAAACTACCCGATTATGGGGACAAAACAAATACAATTGCAAAAATTTACAAGTTCCTAAAATGCAGTTAATTGATTCTCTACTTACGCCCCAGGTTCCCAGACCAATGATTGGGATTTCCTTGCCGTTGTTGAGTTTAACTTTTGGTACTTTGGCAGCCATCTTCGACACTATTAACTCCTTTTGTTTACTTTTGAAGGATTTAAAATATATATAATACAATTGGACACCTTTCGGACGATTGCCTCTGTTTTACAAAGTGAACGATTTCAACCAGCTGATTGCCGCTTTTATATGCACCAAAACGAAAGCTTGTCTAAAATTCTAAAAAGCTTTTTAAAGCAGGGCTGCATTATTGGGCAGGCAAAACAGCTGAGTGATCGCAACAGTTATATTTAAATAATATAATTATTTTTTATAAAAATTATTATAATAAGCATTTCCAGGTTGGACAACAAAATTAATATAGACTTGGGTTTAAAATGTAATTAATAAATATCATTTTTTCATAAAAAAAAATCTGAATAAAATTTCCTGATTTAAAAAAACAAAATATTTACTTGCTTAGTTCTGTTTATGTATCTAATGAAACAAAAAATTAAATATAAATTGAATTCAAGTCAATTCAACTCTAATGTCCATTGTTCTTGATTTTTGAAGGCGTGTTGAAATAAATAATATATATTTAAATAGTTAAAGACAAGGTTCTTTTAACTTATATGACTACGAAAAAAATAGTATTGAAATAATATTTACATTCCAGGTTCCAAGCCCGATTATTGGAATCTCATTTCCATTCAATAAAACAACTTTGGGGACTCCAGCATACTCCTTCTGGCACCTAATAGTATTGGATTGTTCTTGAAATTCTTTTTTACACTGCTCCTTTATAAATTACCACATAAAACGTTCTGTTTTTCCATAATTTCTTAATGTGAACCGAAAAATGGGGCGAACCAGTTGAATTTTCAATAATGTATTCATTTTTATATAATTGTGAAGGAATTTGAATATACACTTTTTAAAGGCTTTGACAGTGCAATGGCTACTAAGAATTTCCATTTATTTCTAAAGAAAAAATAAGAAAATAAATGTATAAACAAAAATGAAAAGCCACATTTTTAGATAATTTTTACAATGAAAATTTTAAATATTACTTCCTTAAATTCTGGCTCTTCCAACCTTGTAAGGCAAATACAATAATGAATAAATGTTGGATAATAGAGATAGTTTTGGAGTCTTTAAAAGATAACATTTTTATTATAACTATTATCAAGTAATTATAAATTGCCAAACATAAGTTCTTGCATGGTTCCTTAGTTTTTTCTCATCTGTAATTTAAAGAGGTAGCTAATATGATCATTTATGAAATGAAACTTATCACAAATTTTTTTTAACACTTTTAAGATATATTACTTCCAGTCTGGAAAATTGACTTATATCGTCTGTACAGGCTCAAACGGATGGTGGGGATGTCCATAGGCCCTAAGGAGCAAAATATTGCAAATATTAGATGATAAATATTTGACCCATGTAATGTAATTAATAAAATCGAGTAAGAATATAAAAACTTTTCCACTCAAGGATATAGAAAATGTAGAGAATATAACCTACAATACGAGTTGAACTTACGCTTTCATGGTCATAAAACGACCATTACAGTCCAGATCATAAATAGCCTTGACATCGTCGATAGCCAGTTCAAAGTCCCAGATTCGCTTAAAGTTGTCCAGCATATGCTGTTTGCTCACGGATCGCGGGATAACGATGATGCCCGATTGTGTCTGATAGCGGAGGAGCACCTGGATTAATGAGGTAAATAATATTTTTTTTTCGGTTTTGCTTATATAGATATCTCAACCTGCGCCGGTGTCCTTTCGTATTTCTCGGCTATAGCCAGGATGGTTGGGTGCTGAAGCAGTGGATAAGCCCCGGGTTTTTCGTAGGGCGTGTGTCCCGATCCCAGGCAGCTATAGGCAGTTACAGCAATGGCATTGTCATAGCAGAGGGTGATCAATGGCTTCTGACTCAAGTACGGGTGGCACTCGATCTGCAGAACCACCGGCTTCAACTTCGCCACACTCAGTAGCCTGGTGATCTGTTGCTCATTAAAGTTGGACACCCCGATGGCCTGGCACAGTCCCTCATCCACCAGATCCTCCATGGCCCGCCAGGTGTCCACGTAGTCGATGTCCTCGAAGACAGCCTTATTCGTGTCCGGACAGGTGGGATAAAGGTTCTCGCCCGACTTGTAGGCCATGGGCCAGTGCATCAGGTAGAGATCCAGGTAGTCCACTCCCAAATTTCTCATACTAGTCTCGCAGGCGGATCGCACTAACTCCGGCTTGTGGTAGGTGTTCCAAAGTTTGCTCGTAATGAAGAGATTATCGCTGTATAATTTGGAATTTAAGATTGGATTTCATTACTTAAATACTTGATCCCCTACCGTGTTACCACGCCCTCATCCATTTTCTCGCGAAGAGCTGCACCCACCTGTGCCTCATTTCCGTATATGTGGGCGCAGTCAAAGTGACGATATCCTATGTCGATGGCATCCTTTACCGCCTGGGTGAGGACTTCTGGGGGGCTCTTAAATGGGGGAAGAACAAGAAGAAGAGCTAAAGCTTTTGGATAACCTTAAAGAGCTTTGACATTGACCGTAAAAAATGCATTGTAAATGCACTTTTCTGTTGGCCAAATATTAAAATAACATTATATGGGCATACCTACCCGCCATGTTCCAAGACCAATCATTGGCATATTTTTTCCATTACTTAAAAGAAAATATGGCGTCGACATCTCGGATTTTTTAAACCTCCGATATCTTTCCGCTTCTTGAGAATTGTGGATATGGTACTCGCTTTTTTAAGCTTAAATTTGTAATTTACTGAATGAACTAAACTCAAAAGCCTGTTAAACTATCTAAAAACACTACATTTCTTGTCATAGTTTTTCTATCACAGCTATATATATGTAAATTGTTTAAATTTAGAAACTTTTGGGCAAGCAAAAGACCTTCGCGGAACACTATCGATTCGCCGGTTAGGAGATTTTGCAAAATGTTCAGCTAATTTCAATCAAAATATTCTCATGCTTAAGTTTTTTTTTTTAAATGTGGTTTAATATTCCACAAGTGTTTTTGCCTGTATTAATGTTGCAGCGCCTTAAACAAATAGTAATATTTTAAAATATTATTATTATAAAATATGGAGACAAAATAACTAAATTTCTAGTCCAAAGTATTTGATAGCTTTGCTAAAAATAATAAATATATAGTTACAAATTAGAAAACTATGTTTAAAAACTATTGGTAACTTCGCTAGCTCGATACTATCGATTACCAACGCATTTAGCGATAGTGCCATTGATTGTCACCACTAAAACTGCCGCCAGCCAAAAAACAAAACAATGTTTGGCAGCGTAAATAACTATTTATCCGGCGTGCTGCACTCCGCCCAGGATTGCGATGGCGAGTCCTTGGGAACTCACCTCTCGCTTCGCGACGTGCACGTGCAGAACCACAACCTGTATATCGCGCAGCCGGAGAAGCTGGTGGACCGGTTCCTGAAGCCACCGCTGGACGAAGTGGTGTCCGCCCACATGAAAGTGCTGTATCACCTGGCCCAGGAGCCTCCCGGCTACATGGAGGCCTACACGCAACAGGCGGCAGCCTGTGGAGCGGTGGTGAGGCTGCTGCAACAGCTCAAGGACGAGAACTGGTGCCTTCCCCTGATGTATCGCGTGTGCCTGGACTTGAGGTACCTGGCGCAGGCCTGCGAGAAGCATTGTCGCGGATTCACACCCGGTCATGTGCTGGAAAAGGCCGCCGACTGCATGATGGCCTGCTTCCGCGTTTGCGCCGCCGACGGACGCGCCTCCGAGGAGGATACCAAGCGTCTGGGCATGATGAACCTGGTCAACCAGCTCTTCAAGATCTACTTCCGCATCAATAAGCTGCATCTGTGCAAACCCCTCATCCGCGCCATCGACAACTGTGTCTTCAAGGACTCCTTCCCGCTGCCGGAGCAGATCACCTACAAGTATTTCGTGGGCAGACGGGCCATGTTCGACTCCAACTACCAGGCCGCTGTGCAGGATCTGTCGTATGCGTTTAGCAACTGCCCGGATCGGTTTGCCAGCAACAAGCGGCTGATTCTCATCTACCTGGTGCCGGTGAAGATGCTGCTGGGCTACCTGCCCAGCAAGTCTCTCCTGCAGCGCTACGATCTCCTGCTGTTCCACGATCTTGCACTGGCTCTCAAGGCGGGCAATGTGAATCGCTTCGATGAGATCGTCAGGGATCAGGAGCTGGTGCTGATCCGAAGTGGAATCTATCTTTTGGTGGAGAAGCTTAAGTTCATCGTGTACCGGAATCTGTTCAAGAAGGTGTTCGCCATCCGTCAGACCCATCAGCTGGACATGGGCGACTTCCTCTCGGCGCTACAGTTTGTGGGCTTGACCGATGTTTCCCTGGACGAAACGCATTGCATCGTGGCCAATCTGATCTACGAGGGAAAGATCAAGGGCTACATCTCCCACGCCCACAACAAGCTGGTCGTGTCCAAGCAAAATCCATTCCCCTCCATGTCCTCATAGTGCATTTAATTGTGAATTTTTAAGAGTAAAAGACTCCGCTTAAAATAGTGTTTTATTTCTTTTAATAAGGGAGTTGGCCAAATATATTTTAGTTGCATTGTATGAATTTAAAAGGTCAAGTAAAAAATGTTTTGAAATTTAAAGTCAACTTAAATAAACAAATGACTAAACATTTTTTAATTTGTTTCCATAAAGCTTATAGATTTTTTTTTAAATTGTACTTGTTTACGATATATATCGATAATTCGAAAACATCGATGCTGTCCCGCCAAACATCGATGACACCGATGTTTTTAAAAACATCGATTACACAATGTATCGATGTTACTCCACCTCTAGCTCTGAACTTTTAGGCTGACAAATTGTCGTAGTTGAGCGAAATTAAACAAATTAACAAGACCTCCCGGCAATTACCTGGTACGTGGTGCAGGACCTTATTCGCCCAAAGTGATCCATATCCAAGTTATAAGAAATATCTTGAATTAACTTCGAACTTTTCCCCTGCCGGCGACGTGTTGTCATTTTGCCATCGTAAAATCAATATTACTAATTTTGCTTTGCGTTTACAACGTGACATAACTAATACGCGAGATGCGGTGTGTTTGTTTGCATTGCAGAAATCCGCTGACACAGCTAAAACAAAAAAGAACGACGAAAGCAACGCCAAGTCGCCAAATCGCAGAGTACCTGGAAAAGTGCGTCCCCAAAAGAGGCTAAACTAGACTAAAAAGGCATGGCTGCACCGGTCATCGTTGAGGCCACGGCCAAGCAAACCGCCACGGTGAGTTTTCCGGCGTAGTCTTGTTTCGGGATCTAAACTAATCCCCAGTGTGTGTACATTCCAGCTGATCTTCATGCACGGCCTGGGAGACACGGGGTAAGTGGGGACTACATCCCCATTTAAAATAATAGCACTCTACCAACCACAATCTGATATCTAGAAAGGCACATTCACTAGATATTTCTAATATTTGATAGATTAGATGGCCTTAAAAGAAGTTTTGAATTCTTCAATTAAAATCGATTAAATTACGTATTTGTATTAATAGTTTCACAGTGTAGTATAGTAGATTAATAGAGATTTGTTTCACATTTGTGTTATGTATTAATTTTTGTATACATTCATTTTAAAGATTGTAAGTCCTCAGAGAAGTTTCGAATTCTTAAATTTAAGTTTATGACTGATGTGGCTAGCGTTTATGGTTCCCCAGGGTAATATTATTTCACGATTCTCCAAGTTAAGTGGAGTACATAGCGAAATGGTTATTATGTATGTGTGTATAGTTCTACAGATTTATGTTTCTGATAAGAAGTCCATCGGGAGTTCCGGAATTTCAAGCTAAATTGAATATTTCCAGCTGCCAATATACTCAAATATGTGTAAGGGCCTTTAAATATTTATTCTCCAAGAACAAAAGTTTCCAAAGTTTTTAAGCATAGGTCTATAAATGTAACAAAATCTGTAAGCTTTTAAGTACTTGTAGTTTCACCAGTATTACAAATTTAATTTTTGGCTTAATTGTTTTTCTACTATTCAATTGTGTAGTACTTGCAACATTTCACATATTCTCATGTGCTTATCTCTATACTAATTGATATTTTGTCTTACAGTCATGGCTGGAGCAGCGCCCTGGCCGCCATTCGCCCACCCTTCATGAAGGTCATCTGCCCCACGGCGCCCACACAGCCCGTTTCGCTGAACGCCGGCTTCCGGATGCCCTCGTGGTTTGACCTGAAGACCCTGGACATCGGTGGGCCCGAGGACGAGCCGGGCATCCAGTCGGCCCGAGACAATGTGCACGGTATGATTCAGAAGGAGATTAGTGCCGGCATCCCGGCGAACCGGATTGTGTTGGGCGGATTCTCGCAGGGCGGAGCTCTGGCATTGTACTCGGCGCTGACGTACGACCAGCCGCTGGCCGGCGTGGTGGCCCTGTCATGCTGGCTGCCGCTGCACAAGCAGTTCCCCGGCGCCAAAGTGAACAGTGAGGATGTGCCGATCTTCCAGGCACACGGTGACTACGATCCCGTGGTGCCGTACAAGTTTGGCCAGCTGAGCGCCAGTCTGCTCAAGTCGTTCATGAAGAATGTGACGTTCAAGACGTACAACGGACTGTCGCACTCGTCCTCCGACGACGAAATGGATGACGTCAAGGTGAGTGGGGCGCACTGGGCGTCATTCGGAATTCCCGTGGCAATCGAAACGCTATAAAGAACTTCATTACGCTCACTCTGCTCTTCTCGATTACAGGACATAATCAGTAAATGGGTAAACTAATTTCCACTGAACCTTAGCACTCTTAGAACGTACGAAAGCCCCCGACCCAGCCCGTTGCATTCCAACGATTACGAAATACAGAGCAGCTGAACATGATTGAAGCGTATTTAATGAAATTCCAAGCGCAGTAAGCGAGTCACACTGAGAGTTATACGAGTAGGCTCTCTCGTAGCCCAAATATGGAAATTATCACTGAAAATCAATTCGAAAAGCAATCAATTATACACACGTAGCTATACTATAATGAAAAATGCCAAAATACAAGCAATTTGCGAGGGAAATCCACCAACGCTAGACGTGTCAGAGTATATTAAAACTCACTTTGATATTTGTTCGCTGCTAATTATTTCGGTTTACTTATTTGGGACTTGTTCGTATTTAAATTGAAATTAATAAAGTTATATAATCCAAGAAACTGGGAGTCGCAATCTAAATTGGATCACTGTTTCAACCAACACCCGATTGCCATTTAATTGCTGGCAATCGGGTGCAATTTCAGATATTTTGAGCGACCAAACCACTACTTAACATTTGTTTGTTCATTGTAGCTAACATTAACTCTGATAATTTACCCATTTTGATTTGATTCTTTGTTTCTCGTTTTATTTTATTTCGCACAGCAACAGAAAAACAATCATCTGTAGAGCCGCGGGCCCACTGGCTAGAGTTTGAAATTTGCATCCTTCACTTGTTAAACCAATGGCAATAAACAAATGGATTAAATTAGATTAAATGGCCACTCCAGTACACTCTCTCAGACTCTCTATAAGCACATAATCCACCTGCTAAACCCCCTTGTCCTGCCGCACCACTCACCATCTCTCATCTATATATTTGCAGACACATTGGGAACATGGTGGCCAAAACATGGCCAGAAAGGCGCAATGCTGTCAGATATCATAGTAGCATCCAATGCTAGTGTAGTGAAGGTTCCTGTTCCTGTTCCTTCCGCAAATCAAAGCTCCTCAGCCTAGTCAAGACGTCTCGGGCCGCACGAGAATTGTATTTTAGTAATTATTTTGTACATACACACGATGGACTTGGTACCATGATAAAGGCTGTCCTATCACCTGGTGAAGTGACAAGAAGCCGATTCGCCAAAGCGAATGGCCAATAAAGTTATTTGAAGCTCTCAACTGCAAGAACTTAATCGTAAAAGGGGCCTTCAAGTCAAATTACACAAAGAAGGTAAAATTCAAATTTAAATTAGTTAAAGTAAAAGTTGTTTCTTTTTAAATTTGTTGCCAGTGTTGAAAAGCGTTCCAAATAGTGATACATTTCACCCTACGGTATTTTTTTTAAGCCTTGGTATATTTTATTTTGCTTGTTTTTTTTTATCGATAAATTAGGCGGGGTTTTGAAACGATTTGAACCTTACTTAGGCATTAGGACATATATTTTAAGTGTTGATTGTAAAATTAATTTAGCTTTTAAATTTGATATCTGAGAACATATCTCAAGCGAATAAAATTTTTGGTCATTTTTTAAAAGTTTTGTAAAATTTATCATGTTTTCATAATGAATTAAGTTTTATAACAATATATTTGGAGCTATCATTTCATTTATACTTTAAATTAACTTCGACGTAATCTACTTATTTTTATTTAGAGATCCAAAGATAAAAGTTTTGTTTCTGAAGTACTTACATATGTAATGTGTAAACTTGCTTACAAAATAAAAAGACAATTTAACCAGGGAATTCTTTGAAGGAAATCTACTTATTTCTGATATGGTTACAAAAAATACAACTTAATAAACTTCTTGAGTCTCGAATATAAAATTAAATTGTGAAATATTATATATTCTATTTGTTTCTTCTTATTAATATATAAATGAAGCATACTTAGAGACTTTGATTAAATATGCTAAATTACTGGTCCAATAACGTATATCTAAAATTCCTCTCCGTACTGCGACTAACCATTTTATTTGGGGAACCCGTTGGACTGCGACTTCACATACCGACTAAGTGCCAGTTGTGTTCACAGCGCCGGCGAGAGTGGACGCGTTTTTTCAGTATCGCGCTTCAATAGTACATATATAGTTTACATCGTCTTATCCTCGGCAAATTCCAGTAAACTTCGCGGAACAATTTTAAAAAGCGTTACACAACAAATTCCAATGTAAGAAGTGAACACAAAAAATCAATCAGATTAGATCTATCTGCAGTGCATATGCCAATCAAATTAATTTTAGCAAACAAGCTGTTTTTGTGTGGGGTTTCGATTATTTTGGATTTGTCCACAAAGAAAGTCATTTGTTTTAAAAAGTTGGATGTGCAACAATGCAAAAATAAGTTATTTCGATTTATCACGAAATATTTTAACTTAAATGCATAAATACTGCAGCAATTTATACATTAACGCTGAATATAATTCCCGATATTCTTTTGTTATCTTTAAACATGTAAAGAACTGGCATTGCAATAATACTCGAATTCTAAAGTTTTACGAAGTGCAATAAAATAAAATTTAAAAAATAACACGTTTTGCTTTAAGTAAAGAATTTTAATATTCACAACGTAAAAAGCTGCAAAACTGGGCAATTTAAAATGAAAGCAAAAAAAAAAATCTTTAAAATGTATCAGTTTAATAGTTATTAAAATTAATTACTTAAAACATCTCCCTATTTATCATTTCACAAGTGAATATAAAATTTAATTAACCTAACTATTTAGTTAAATGTCAAACAAAAATAAATCCCAACTTTAATTGATTGTCTACGCTGCTAAAGCTTCAGTCATTATAATTTAACTATTATCAAATAA